TTTAATTATTTTAACACTCTGTATATCCAGAGGTTCTTATCTTGACATTCCCCATCACCACCACCAACGGCTCTCTTGTTGAAAAATCCAGCTGTTGATCTCTAGTGCTGATGCTGAACTGCCTCTGGTCAGGTGTCATCAGTCTGTAATGGTTTGCAGCATTTCTTGCTCCTTGAGCTTGCATCACTCAGTGCCGGTTTGTCATTTTACATTGATCTGCAAAAATCTGGATCTGTTGCTTATTTTTCTAACCTGGAAATAAATAGAGAGGTGAAAATAGTGTTTTTAAAAAAACAACCTTAAGAATATACATTGAATTTTCAAAATGATAGCAGGGTGAGCACACTTAAAATAATTTTCTGTATCTCATTTATAAAGGCTAAAAATTAATTTGAGTTATAATGCTTTTTTACTTTTTAATGATGTGTTTTGAAGATGTATTCTCTGCCTTTTTCAATTCAATGTGCCTTTTTAATCTATAGGCTTTTTAGGTAAGCTCACAGATTTTTAGAACATGTTCCTGCAGTTTTAAGACACAATTATAAATTCTACTTACAACTAAAATTTTGTTTTGAACATACTGTAGTTTCGTTTGTGACTTCTCATAGTTGCAAGAATTCTTGATGGCAATCACACCTGCAGCATTTCACAAGTTGCAAGGAGGCATTTCTGTTTGAGCATTTGTGCCTACAATTTTTCCACGGCTGTAGCATTTTTTGATGTTTTCAATAACTTTGAAACATTTTGTGCTTATGGAACATAGAAGCAATGTAGAAATAAAGTGTGTAGAATTATACAAACTGCCTGAAATCATTGCAACGATTACAAGACTTATACTTTGATACCCAGATGAATTTTGATATGATTGGCAATGATTATCTGATTTCATTCTTGAATTAACCCTTTCTAGGATAAATGGCAGCTGTAACTAATACATGTGCTTGCTAATATTGTTAAAAAACCAAACAGGAAAACAGGACTCCACTTTGTAGTAGCCTTTGCTGATTCTTCTACAGGAAGACCTGTTCTTCTCTAAGTTTGGTAAATCCTTCTTTAGTCATTTCCCCCTTTAATTTACCAAGAGCAGGCAGTAGGATAACTGAAATAGGATTCTCCACCTGAAACACTTCTTGAGAACTGAAACATTTCTTGAGAACTGATATTGAAGTGGCTACTTCTTGTTCCTTACCGCATACTGTACGTTAATTTCAGGGCAAAGTGGAACAGCAGCATTTTTACATATTTTAAGATCCCTCACGTTGATGTCATCTGGGTCTACTAATACACTTCCTTTTAATTTAATGATAATCACTACCAACTCCAGCTGACTTGTATCTTTAAGGAAATCAGTTAGACACAGATATCTCCTCTGCAGGGAAGACAGATGCAAACAATTCATTAAATGCTCCCTTTCCTTTTCCTTTGTCTTGCGCATATGTTCCCACTGCCTCCTGCTCAGTTTTTAATGCTAGTGTAGTTAAAATAATTTTTTATTGCTCATCTTAATTATGATATTAATGCTTTTGTTAGTTTACAAAATAAGATCACCTAGATCACTGGTTCTTAACCTTGGGTTACTCAGGAGTTTTGGACTGCAACTCCCAGAAGCCTTCACCACCAACTGTGCTGGCTGGGGTTTCTGGGAGTTGCAGTTCAAAAACATCCGAGTAACAAAGGTTAAGAACCACTGACCTAGATCATGCTTTAACTAAAACACCTTAAAGCAATTTACTTAGGTCATGATGAGACAGATAGTTCAAGATGGCCTATAAATATGTTTCATTAAAGTTAATTACCTTCTTATTATGGCCATGGATGGGGGGATTCATTTGTCTTAACGCCAGTTTATGTTGTATAGCCCACTTTTGTGTATCCCTTTCATTTTCCACTTCTGTCCTCCAATCAACAAACCTCTGTCTTGCCCTTCACCTCCGTATGACAAAGTCTGTTGGAAACACACATAGATGTCAAGACTTTTTTGCTCATGATGCAGTACAGCCGGAAAGTGCTGTTTGGAAAATAAATGAAGTCCTACCTGCATGTACAGACTAAGCTATGGGCTTTGCTGAATCTCTTCCAGTGTAAATAAGCAGTTGCATAACCAAATCAACAATTCTTAAGTGCAGGCTCTCTTCCGTTAAAAAAAAAAAAGGAAGAAAAGAAAGCAAACAAAAGAAAAATGTCAGCAACAAACCGTTTCTGATTCCTGTGGTGTGTTCTCAAGGAGAGTTGTCTTCAGAAAATAATTTTTGCTATGAATTTCTGAACTGTTAACACATGAGAAAGTCAAATACTACAGATGGTGATTAACAGACCAGCATAATTCTAAGCATCACTAGTCAGAAAGAGGCCCCGTCGTGCTCTGTGGAGGTTTCTGTAGGGTGGCCGCTGCTCTGGCACTAAAAAGGAACACAAATGCCACCAAAAAAGAGAACAGGTATGGGAATGAAAAGGAGAGCAACAAGAAGGAATACATTCTACACAAAAAATGACATTTTCATTAAATCTGCATATGCTAATCTAAACTAATCTATGCAGATATCATAAATAGGCATTATTACGATACTTTAAGTGGAACTAATCGATGAGTCACCATATTGCACAAGATTGTGTCTTGGTAACCACCAAATCGGGACCCAGCACTGAAATCACAATAAGGCATCGTGTTTTTATAGCCCTCTGAAATGCTTTGTATTTTTTGCAGCTTACTAAAAATGAATATGTCTACAGAAATAAAATAAGCAGGGACCACTGTGTTTTTGTTGAAATAACGAACTGGGCAACTATCACTTATTTCACAGGAATGGGCTGAACAGTGCTTTCAGAATATCCATTCCTCAGACAGCCACTAATTCTCATTGTTTTGCTGCTCCATCCCTGGGAACTTGAGAACAGGGCTCTGTTTCTTAATACAGTCAGATCCCCAAATGAAGGGATACTGGACTCTGTTCTGGAGAGCTTACAACATCAATCAGAGTTACATAATGGTTAAATACCCAAACAAAGTTATGGATGGGGGATTATGCTGTTGTAAGAGTTGCTGTGTGCATGTTTAAAGCTGCAAGACTTCAGAGAGACTTTGAACTGCTTTTTCGTTGATGCCAGCTCTTCCATCCTGTTGGGACTGTACTCTCGCCAGGAGAGACCACAGTCTCTCTTTTCTGCCCAGTGTCAAATAAGCATCCCTGCCAATCAAGAGGGATCTCTATTTTTCTGGACTTCAGCTTCCAAGGTTCCCCACCCAGCAGGGCTAGTAGCCATGCTAGTGGAGAGATGCTGAGCATTGTAGTTCACCCCACCTGCCAACCCCCCAATATATCCCAGCTATGACCCTCTTTAAGGGCTGAATAACTGGGTTTATTTCTATTATAACTGTATGCACACATTATAACTTAATATAGTGATCCACCCATTATTTTGATCCACAGGTGGGCAACACCTGCCCCCCCCCAGGCTGTTTCTGTGGGCCTCCACTGTCCCCCCCCCCTTTTTTTTCCTTTCAGAAAGATGAACATGTCTTCTGGAACTCCTGGAAACAGAGGTTCATCTTTTAAAGTCACCTCCTTCTGCTCAGTTTAACACCTCAAAATACCACTTTTGCAGAACTGGAAGTGGATTTTTATCCACATCTGACTCCACTTTTTACAGCCCTCTGTAACTAAGGGGCAGAAAACTGGATGCTAAACTCACCCAAGCTACCCTCCCTTCTCTAATTCACCGGACTTCGTGGAAGGGGTGATACATCCTAGGAGTGCTTCAATGGGTAAATGTGTAATGGAGGGTGAATTTCCTGAGTGTCAGCCTCCCTCTTTGCATTCTTCTTTCATGGTAGATTAGTTTCCCCACAGTGTTTGCAAAGTTTGGCACGATATTTTTGGTGTATTATTTTTAAAATCCCATTTAAACAGAGCTCATGTTGTTAACTCACTGCACTCAGGAGGCAGATGGTCACAGTTGTTATTCCTCTGATTGTTGTCACATCCTTGCTGGCACACCAGAAAAACACAGGGAAATACTCTCTGCTTCCCTCTTTTGGCTGATTTTTTTATATTAAACCATGAAATGTTCAGATTCAGGAATTCTGGTACAGTATACAAAAAAAAAATGCAATACCACAAAGCAACATACGGTATCTCTATTGACATGCAAACCTGGTGTGGTGAGGATACCTCCAGGGTGTGAAAAAGGATCATATCAAAGACTTATTAAAATTCAGGGGGAGGGATTCATTTCACTTTCAGTACAGTCCATGCCAATTCCAAGTTATAAATTCTGAAGCATGCTTATTGAACTAACCAGAGTTTGTGTCAAATCTTAATCTCTAGTTTGTGAATAACAAGAACCCAGCATTCTTAGAAAAGGAAGCTAAATGCTACCGGACAATTTTGTGAAAGGGAACAGAAATATTGAATCAGACCTATTTTACAGGAGGAGGTGATTAGCAAATATGTGAGCCCAAGCTTTTGCATAGGCTCATGCCGGTTTTTGCTTGCCCACTGGAAGGCTAAACCATGGTTTAGCATTATGCACCCAAAAGGCCAGTGTGTCAGAACAATTATCTACTGTTTCTCCCAAACATCCAGGTTTAATTGGAGAAACTGCAAGTAAAATCTGGGAGCCAGGGAGAGATTTGCACCCTTTCAAATGCTCTTATGTTGAATGGTTTAATATGTATATTTACTGTATTACTGCCATTTTGCCAATGCATACACGGTTGTCCACAGCTTAAAGTAATGCCTTATAATTTCATAGATGTGATATAAACGTGATATGTAAAAGAGAAAGAGAGGCACGAAAAAGAAAAGTTGACGTAGGTCATGTCATGGCCATTGCAGGAAATATTTTCACTCATCACTGGAAACGTATTGGACTTGAACTCTTTGTTCTACACACTACCTTGAAATAGTGGGAACAGCATGCAAGCAAGGCAGATCTGTAAGTAGCGATGCACCTCCAAATGCTGAAGTGACCTTGAACTACTTCTTCTTTTCTTCCTTTAGGAAGCCTCATGTGCCTATGTGCTGATAGTGACGGCGATATACTGGGTTTCAGAGGCAGTGCCTCTCGGAGCGGCAGCTCTTGTTCCTGCTTTCCTCTATCCACTGTTTGGCGTCATGAAGTCCAGTGAGGTCAGAGCTACCAACTTTTAACTTCAGTGGTACTGAGAGCTGATTCACATAGGCGTGTGGCTTGATGGTTCCTCGCTCAGTGATTTAGTGTGGCATACTGTAGCTGCCAATGGAGGGCGCAAATACATAGTCATACTATTGCGTGTCGAGGTGTATATCTATGGATTTTGTGAGGGGTTTTTTTAAAAGTGTGTTGAATTTTTTGAATATTACTGTATGCTTGGACCTAAATGCATATTGTGGTAATAGCTAAATTAGGAAAACTCAAAAAACACAAAATTGTGTGCAAGCTTTCATAATCGGCAGATTCCTTCATTAGAAAATATGTCAGAATGATCAGTCAGAGTTTGTCTTAATGTCATGGAAATGCAGACACCAGCAAGCTGAAGATGGGCACCTTTAGTGCCAGGGACCTCTACCCAGGCCCTAGTCCAGGCTTCTGCACAAAGGTATAGTCCACATCTCCGACAGTGCAGAAGATGGCGTCAAGCTCCTCTTCTGCTTCTCCCCATTCCTTGCCTTTTGAGCCAGTCTCCCTCTCTCCTTCCTCTTCCTTTATCCCTGACTCCTCCTCATTGCCCAGGTGTAGCATTTTGCCTCCTTCCTCCATTTTACCACCTGGAGCCTGCCATCCCATATCTATACCCTGCTGGGGCCTGGGAATCCCGGTTCTTTCCGGGCTTCTAGTGGGCATAGAGTGAAGGCAGGTGGTCCACCAGTGGTGCCAGGAGATACCGAAACACTGCGTGGCAGAATGAACAGTAGGTGGACCAGAAGGAGCAGCCTAGCAGAATGCCAGCTGTCCAACAGAGATCCTTTGGATACATCACATGTACAGTTACACTGAAGGAGAGGGAATAAACCTGGACCCCACGCACAAAATGGCCAGTCTGGACTGATCCGAAGACTGAGTTGCAAGCACTCCTACCACAAAACTGAGTAGTTTCAACAAATGGAAGTTCTGAAGGATACAGGTTAAATCCCTTTGGCGGACTTGAATGCATGACAAAGCTTTTTTCCAGCCAGAGCAAACCTGCTGCGGATTACTCAAGGCCTTATGCTTATAAGAACCTTAACCTTTGTTTCTGCCGCCTCCCCAAAGTGTGAAAGGGATAAAGTGGGATAATACAAGCTTTTCTGTGGCTACTTTAGATGGTTTCTATCCTTTCCATTCAATTATACTTTTATTAAAGTATTGTTGGGCAGGCTAATAGGGACACAGCAGCTGGAGAAAGAAGTGAGACCTATTAGAACCAAGCCCAACCTTTAACATCTCTTGCTCTTTTAAGAAATGTACCTGTAGGCACTTTATCTATATCTGAGAGGGGTTTTAAATGGACTGTCCTGTTCTGTTGTTTTGAATGTGTTTTAATATTGATTTTAGTTACCATTTTTAAATAATACTTGTTTAATTCTTTGTTAATAGTTGTATAGTTACCATTTCAGCTTTTTAATACTGTTTTAGTAATGTAAGCCACTTTGGGTCCTTTTGGGGAGAAAGGCAGTAAGTAAGTAAGTAAGTAAGTAAGTAAGTAAGTAAATAAATAAATAACTAAATAACTAAATAAATAAATAAATAAATAAATAAATAAATAAATAAATAAATAAATAAATAAATAAATGTGATTATTTAGTAAATACTAGCAACATGGTCAAGTACCAATTTGTTTATTTTAGGATAGATCCTGACTCAAAACATAAAGGAGGCCCTAGGTAGGTTGCAACCTAAAAAATAGAAAACAAAATAAAAACCCCATAAATGTGTTTAAAATGAAAAAAAAATGTAATCTTGGAAACATTAATATAAGGTCATTAGTTTCATTGTCATACTGCTCTAACAGTTAAGAAGTTTTCCCTGATATTCAGCCTAAATCTGACTTCCCGTAGGTTGAGCTCATTATTAAATTTCTTAATGGCTGCAAGACAGCCACCCCCAACAGACTCGTACACCTCCAGAAAAAGATTCTCTGGACAAAGAGCCCCTAATTCACAAAACACTTTCAAATACATTTCTTCAGCAGGACACTAAAGAAGCTGTCCATGAAGGGCCAGTTCTTGCTCTTCCATGTGGTTTCAGAGGTCACAGTGTGGTCAGAAATCGTTCTGTAATCATGTCAGGGACTAAGGTTTAGGGACAGTTTCCATGGTATTGTGTTGAAGACAAGCATTGGTCTACATAGAGCCAGTCTTCTCTGGGAAGCATATGGGTACTTTTCCTTGGTAGGTCAGGAGAAATCCCACAATTTAGAGAAGACAGTCTTCCTACCAACCTGATGTTTTTCAGACAGTGGGACCTCATGATCCGCAGGTAAATTGTACTATGGAATCTGTACTTCATCAGAAGTAAAGGAAATCTTAAAGCAGCAAAACGAGTGTAATGATGATAATAATTAACAAACTATGATAATAATGATAATTAACAAACTAAACATTTTCAGTTTTACAGAACAACATATTTAACATTTACTTCCCTATTTCTAATACTAAGATGTTAGCATTAATACAGTATTAGCATTTTAATATTAACCATATTGATTGAACCTAATATTCCAAGCTCTGGAATTTTACTGGATTTTCTTAAAGCAGGTGTCACTATGAGAAGGTCCTATTTCATATATCACTAAGGTAACTTCAGCTAATTACAGGATGTCCAGCAAGGCCTATTTTGAAGAATTGTTTCATGGAGAAAGTATTTCCATAGATAATGCGGGTCCGGGCAATTTATGGCTTTAAGGATTAGAAATCAAACTAAAATTGTTTTCGCTCAAGTCCTGTTATTAAATATGAAAGCCCACTTAATTAAAAAAAGATTATACGTAATAAAATGCATTTTTTTCATTATGACCCAGAAACATATTGAGAGCCTACTGAGTTGTTTCAGTGGTAATATATGTTCTTGCTGGCTTCCTTGTGCTAATTGTATGCATTTGTTACCTGAGTGCAGCATGTTGGCAAGGTGAAGTTATGGGTATCAATTAGGAGTTATTGTTCATGATGCTCACAGTAAAGTAAAAGGAAAAATATTATGAGTAACATTTAAAACATTTACTCAGCATAAAACAGAATAAAACCTCAGGTTGAGTACAAAAGCCCTTACAACTGGCTTTTGTGTGTATAAATTTACTGAAGGTCAACATGGTGGCACCCTTAAGGGTGGTCTTCCATTGCAGTCAAGGGAGAACAAAGAATTTGAAGTGTCCCTTGGTGATTGCAAAAGTAATCAGAATGCACAAGATACCCAAGCCCAGCTGGCTACCAAGTGGTCTACAGCAGTGGTCTCCAACCTTAGGCCTCCAGATGTTCTTGGACTATAACTCCCAGAAGCCTTCACCACCACCTCTTTTGGCCAGGATCTCTGGGAGTTGAAGTCCAAGAACATCTGGAGGCCCAAGGTTGTGGACCACTGGTCTACAGGTATACAGAAGAATATAAAGATGGTTAATAATGTATTACAGCTCTTAAGCAGAGCAAGGAGACTTAGAATATAACCTTTCTCATAGTATCTAGCATGAATTGGCCTCAAAAGGAATGTGTATCTTTTCCTCCAACCATGTTTCCACTTTCAACCACACTCTTCTAAGGCTGTGCAAGTAATGTTCAGTACTGCAAACTCCTTATACTCTCAGACCAAGCCTATCGTTTAAAATCCAGAAATGATTTCGACTTCTGCTCATACAAGGTTACCTGTCAGATTTTGCTGTTTGAAACTGCCTGCTTGTTTGGCATTCATCTAGAATGGGCCCTGTCTATCATTATTAGCAACCTCTGTTAACCCATAGCTTTTAAGACATTGAAGCAATGTTTGAATACCAACAGAAATAAAATCTATAAAGTTTGCAGCAGCAGGTTAGCTCAGGAGGAATGTAATGGGAATTCACAATCAAGATCACATAAGGTCACTGTTATTTTCTCATAATCAAATCATGCAATAAGGCAAATGTGCATTTCCTGCTATTAAGTTTTCCTAGCAGGCACGTAAGTCTTTCATATCTGTATGCTGAAGCCATCAGATTTCCAAATAAAAAGCCTGTGTTTACCTATAAAGTCCAATCACAAGGCAAAGGAAAGCTAAAGTACAACACACAGAATACCTAAATCTGTGCTTGGGATAAACTGATCTCTCTTACACTTTCAGGCAATGCTATGTCTAATGCCATGCTGTTATCCAGTTTGAGCTTCAGCTTGACAATAAAAAGTTCTCTAAGACGCATGAACAAAAATAGTAAATATATTGCTTTAATATAACAGCAAAATCCAAAGAAACAACACAACACAAAACAAAAAAAGACAAAACCATGTGGCACATTAAAGATTAACTATTATATTTTAATGTAAGCTTTCGTGGACACATCCATTTCATCAGACATAAAGAAACAGAATGAAGCTTTTGGATCAGACTGACCAAAAAAAGAAGCTGAGATGAAATTAAAAGAAACTAAAATCTAGTGAGAAGGGTGTGGTGAAGTGATTCTTCTTTTACTGATAGATCTGACATCTGCTCCAGTCTTCTCAAATGCCTTGTGTCAGTAAACAATTCTATCCCATTACTCCTCATCTATCTCTGTTTCTTCTCACCCTTTTTTTTCTATAGGTGGCTGGAGAATACATCAAGAATACCACATTGCTTCTCATGGGAGTAATTTGTGTAGCAGCCTCTGTGGAAAAGTGGAACCTACACAAACGGATCGCCTTGCGTATGGTGATGATGGCAGGAGCAAAGCCTGGCATGTGAGTGAATCCACTTTTTCGCAATGTGAGAAACAAAGCAAAAAAGCAAAGCGTGCTGCTCGTATACCACCCCATAGTGCTTCAAGCACTCTCTGGGCGGTTTACAAGTTAATTATGCAGGCTACACATTGCCCCCCCCCACCCAGCAAGCTGGGTACTCATTTTACCGACCTCTCGGAAGGATAGAAGGCTGAGTCAACCTTGAGCCGCTACCTGGGATTGAACCCCAGGTCATGAGCACAGTTTTGGCTGCAGTACAGCGGTTTAACCACTGCGCCACGAGGCTCACGAAGACAGAGAGAATAATTAAAAACCAAGACAGAAACCATCATTAACAGTAATCTGTGCTGCCAAGTATAGCCAACTGAAGTACTGTTCCAAGCAGAATAATAGAATGGAGGCCACAGATGTTATGAATAAATAAATTTCCAAGACATATTGAATGTGATGGATATCAAACTGAGGCAAGCATGGAAACAACATGGAAAAGAATTCATTAACCTGAAAATACTCTCCCAGTAATCTGTGCTGCCAAGTATAGCCAACTGAAGTACTGTTCCAAGCAGAATAATAGAATGCAGGCCACAGATGTTATGAATAAATAAATTTCCAAGACATATTGAATGTGATGGTTATCAAACTGAGGCAAGCATGGAAACAACATGGAAAAGAATTCTGAAAATACTCTCCTCTTTCTTCTGCTGCTTCTATTCTCCTCAGATATTCCCTCTCCCTCTCTCTGTCCTCTTACTTTGCTAATATCCAGAACCAGCCCAAGACTTTTTATAGCTGAAACACAGTAACATATTATGACTACTGCTTCCCACTTGAGGGTCCAGCTAGAAAATTTAGCACATTTTCAGAAGAGCTGCTCTCACAAGTGGACAAAGACATATCTTTGTCATGGCACATGATTTGCCTCATTTAACATGTCTTGTATTAACATGCTTTGTTTTGTAATTGGTCATTGAAAGGTAAATATGAACTTACCCGTATTTTTCGCTCCATAAGACGCACCTTTCCATAAGACGCACCAATTTTTTAGGAGAAGAAAACAGGAAAATATAATCTATTTTCTTCGCTCCATAAGATGCGCAGACTTTCCACCCCCCTGTTTTGTGGGAGAAAAGTGCATCTTATGGTGCAAAAAATATGGTAATTTGCAGCTTGGGATTTTAAGACATAGATCTCTGAGGAAATCCTGTTGTAAGCAAGCTGAAACACAGTAACATATTATGACTACTGCTTCCCACTTGAGGGTCCAGCTAGAAAATTTAGCACATTTTCAGAAGAGCTGCTCTCACAAGTGGACAAAGACATATCTTTGTCATGGCACATGATTTGCCTCATTTAACATGTCTTGTATTAACATGCTTTGTTTTGTAATTGGTCATTGAAAGGTAAATATGAACTTAATTTGCAGCTTGGAATTTTAAGACATATACGTATCTCTGAGGAAATCCTGTTGTAAGCAGATAAGATGCGCAGACTTTCCACCCCCCTGTTTTGTGGGAGAAAAGTGCATCTTATGGTGCAAAAAATATGGTAATTTGCAGCTTGGGATTTTAAGACATAGATCTCTGAGGAAATCCTGTTGTAAGCAAGAATACACATTCTTCTTTATTCCTTGTTTAACCCTAATATGCATAAGACTCATGACTGATCAGCAGAGCTGGTTGAAGACATTTCTTTGCCTAAGCTGAAAAATCAGTGTATGCCTTCCGTTTCCATGTATAGAATGCCTTTTGAATGGTAGTAGACTCTTACTTCAACAAAGTTGGTGGAATAATATCCTCTACTGCAGGGGTCCCCAACCCCCAGTCCACAGCCTGATGCCGGTCCATGGACTGGGCCGCGGAGACAGATTTATTTATTTTATTTATTTATTTATTGGACTTATATACCGCCCCATAGCGCTACAAGCACTCTCTGGGTGGTTTACAATTTTTAATTATACAGGCTACACATTGCCCCCCCCAGCAAGCTGGGTACTCATTTTACCGACCTCGGAAGGATGGAAGGCTGAGTCAACCTTGAGCCGGCTACCTGGGATTTGAACCCCAGGTCGTGAGCACAGTTTTAGCTGCAGTACAGCGCTTTAACCACTGTGCCACGAGGCTCGCTGAGGTCTCCCACCCATCCAGCACACACTCCCCCCACAGCCCCTTTGCACATGCATGCAAGCATGCCCCCACGAATGCCCCTGCCCCTTTGCGTATGCATGCTCGCCTGCACAAATGCCCCCAAGCACTGCCACCCCTTTGCACATGCATGTGAGTGCACTGTGCAAGCGCCCCTCTGCCCCTTCGTGCATGCACGCAAGCACGGGGGTGCCCTGTCTTCTCCACACATGGACCCCGTCCTCCCCCAACTGGTCTGCAGTGACAAAAAAGTTGGGGACCACTGCTCTACTATACAAGAAGTGCAGCAAACTTGTTGAGGCGCAAAACTTTGGAAGATACTCCCAAAAAGAATGAATATGAGAACATTTTGAATCCTTGCCCAACCAAGTAGGATGGGACCCTAGGTAAAGGTGAAGTTTTTCCCTTGACATTTAGTCCAGTCGTGTCCGACTCTAGGGCGCGGTATTCATCCCCATCTTCAAGCCATAGAACCAGCATTTGTCCAAAGACAGTTTCTGTGGTCATGTGTCCAGCGCAAAACAGTTTCCGTGGTCATGTGACCAGCACAAATAAACATGAAACGCTGTTACCTTCCCACCGAGGTGGTACCTATTTATCTACTTGCATTTTTACATGCTTTCGAACTGCTAGGTTGGCAAGAGCTGGGACAAGTGACGGGAGCTCACTCCGCTGCGTGGATTCAATCTTATGACTGCTGGTCTTCTGACCTTGCAGCACAGAGGCTTCTGCAGTTTAACCCACAGCACCACCACATCTGGGACCCTACCATGGCCCAGTTTCCTCAGCATAGTGTTGTATCAGTTATTTTCAAATATACTTTTCAAAGATCTGTTGGATTGCAGGCTAAGTAGTGTCAAGCTCAGTCCTTCAACAAAGAGATAAATGGTGAAGGGAATCCAGGGTAATGGCCAGGAGTCTGTTTGCTGCCTTAGCATCTGCCACTTAAAATGATTGCCTTACTCTGCCCAGTGGTAGAGCAGGTCCTGCTGGCCTTGTTATTTTGATCCTGAGCAAGAAAATATCTTTATAGGTGAAAACAAAATTTAAAAAATAACTTTAAAAAATGTGGTGGCACCTTAAAGTCTAATTTTTCATATTTTTTTAATGTGAGCTTTCATGGACAAGTCCACTTCATCAGACATATTCATGAAAGCCCACATTAAAAAAAAAGTTAGTCCTGGACAAGTCCACTTCATCAGACATGTTCATGAAAGGCCACGTTTAAAAAAAAGTTAGTCCTAAAGTACCACCATGTTTTTGTCTCTCTTTTTTTACTTTTTATTTTGTTTTCACCTATAATCCTTGCAAAGACTAACATGACTACCCCTTCTAAAAGTGCCCTTCCTTCTCTCCACAGCAGTCAAGATGTCATGGTAATATGTCATATAATTAATTTCTGTCTTTCTATGGTACCACAAAACAACTGCCTGAGGCAGTTGCTTCACTCTGCCCTGTAGCAGGACCAATAATCGATCCATCTTTGATTCTGAAGGAAAGCACCAAAAGTTCAATGTGTCAGCCAAAGCTTCCAGAAAGTTCTCATATAATTATCAATCATGTATATACATGCTATGCATAGTCCATACTAGATTATCATGGCCTTGCCAACTGACATACATTACCAGAGCATTTTAAATGGGGTTCAGAGAGGAATTAAGTAATCTACCAAACATGTAGACTATAAAGAGAAGAAAGAAGCAATTCTACCCCCTATCTATGATTTCCTGTGTTCCAGGTTGCTCCTTTGTTTTATGTGCTGTACCACAATCTTGTCCATGTGGCTTTCCAACACCTCTACCACAGCCATGGTGATGCCCATTGTTGAAGCAGTGCTACAAGAGCTAGTGAATGCTGAGGAAGATCGGGAGGTGAACAGTGCCACAGGCAACGCTGTCCTAGAAGACAGAGAGACAATAGGTACATGACAATACCTGGAGCCTCTTGATGCTGGTTGGTTGGTTGGTTGGTTGGTTGGTTGGTTGCATACTCATTTGTTACGAAGAACTATGTTATGTTGGGGCTTATATAGTTTAGTCCTTCCCAGCCTTCCTTCCTCAGATATTGAATTACCACTCCCATCATCCTTGACCATTGTGCATGCTAGCAGGGGATTCTGAATTTTGAAACCCATCTATGAAAACCAACCACACTCAAACTCTCTCCCCTCTCCCTTTTTTTGTTACAGGTCTCGGTGACAAACATGGGCAAACCTCATTGGAACTCATTTTCATCAACGAGGAGTAAGAACGAAGCCTGTCCAGCTCTAATGGACTTTTGAACCCTTTCAGGTCACAATGAGATAAAATGTAAAAAGCAGGAGCAGCAAATGACAGATTGCAAAGAATAAAGGGAGGGGATGGTAGGATGTGCAGAACAAAGCAGGAATGGTTCAGATGTCATTACTATGATACTTGCTACTCTTTTTCAGAAAGGAAGAGACTGATGCCTTGCATGCTTGGGAGACATTAGGCTGGATTTATGTGCAAACAAAGCACACTTTAATTTAAGAGTTTAGATTATGAGAGGTCTCTACATTTTAAAAAAATATCTATTTTAATAGCACGCATTTTGGGATCATGTAACTTCTTGACTTCAACCTCAGATTGGCTTAACCCAGGCCTGGGAACTATTTAAATGTGTGCCCAGTATGGTGTACTGGATAGAGGGGTAGCCTAGGACTCAGGAGACTTGTGTTCAAATCCTGGCTGAGGTATAGAAAATCACTAGAATGAGGGTAGCACTGGTAAAACTGCTAATTCAAGATTTTACTTTGAAAACTCTATTACAGTCTCTAGGGAGATGCAACCTGGCAGCACACAACACACACAACTGTTTAAACAGTATTCTGTGTAACAGTATTCTGATGAAATAATTCAAACAGGTACCAAATGTGATGTGGCAGATATAATTTAAATAGAGTAGGAATTAAATTGTTTCTTTTTTTGGATTGGAGGGCCGTGTGAGATGTTATTGCATGGTTAGCAAAAAGGACAATATAGTGGGAACCCTGTATCTATAGGCTCAGTATCCACTGACTCACTTACCCACAGTGCGACAATATTAAAAGAAAAATCCTAGAAATATACAGTGGTGCCTTGCTAGATTATGATAATCCGTTCCACTGAAATTGTTGTTTAGCGGAATCATTGTCTAGCAAAAAGCATTTTCCCATTGGAATGCCCTGAAACCTGTTTAATGCATTCCAATCAGGAAGAATCATCGTTGTCTAGCGAAGATCGGCCATAGGAAAGCCGCTTTGCGAACCGCCGATCAGCTGTTTAAATCGCTGTCTTGGAAAGCTTAGGTCCCAAAAACACCTGTTTGCAAGTGCGGAGAGAGCTGTCAAAATCATCGTCTAGCGAAATTGGTTTGCGAAGCAGGGACCAAACATTGTCCAGCGAAATTCCCCCACAGGAATCACTGTATTGCGAATTGCTATAGCGATCGCAAAAAGCCAATGTCTAGCAAAAAAAAACCTGTCATGCGGGGTAACTGTCTAGCGAGGCACCACTGTATATTTCTAAAGGTGAACCTACCAGAACTGGTCATGAGAGAGAACCAGAGGCCATGGTATGTATAGTGTTTGGTATTAAAATAGTGTTTGCTTTAATTCACATTTTCCAGCATCTGCAGGAGATTTTGAATCAATCCTCCACAGATACAGGAGTCCTGTATTTTTAAAAAAAGTAAAGGTGACATATACAGGTCCCACTTTAGAATTTCATTGGGATTTCTTTAGATGGATGGGGTTCGTTGGGCTCAGCCCTAGAAATAGGCTTTAGCAGGTTATAATGTTTCCCTCTGTATAGTGTAATAAAGGAAATCTATACCTGCGTCTGGCCTTGATTGAGAGAAAAGTCTAGTAGAAAACCCTGATTTCACTTCCACCCTCCTCTTCTCTTTAAATAATTCTTATTGAGCTGTTAGTGATGGCAGCATGAGCTATATAGGGAGAAAGAAGGCAGGAGACCGTTCTCTTGCCCTGGCATGCCCTTCACAGCACATTGGTTCTTTACAGCAGGATAAGAAGAGCTAGTGTTAGCCACACATGGAAATAGTTGTGGCCCCTTTTAGACCTCACATGACTTTTCAGTAAAATGGAAAACAGCCAGAGTGGTGTAGTAGGTCATGCATTGAACTAGGACTCATAGGTCTGAATCCCTAGTCAATCTTGGAAGTTCACCAGGCAGAGTGGGGTTTGCAAATGGTAAACCACTCCTTGAATTGGGGTTATCATAAGTCAGAAGCAACTTAATGGAACTTAATAATAGCAAAAATATATGGTGATTATTACAGTCAACAGATCAGATAAGATGTATGGTGAATATATTTAGGTTAGTGGTTCCAAAAGGTGTACATCAGTGGTTCCAAATCATGGATCCCCAGATATTTCTGGACTTTAGTTGCAGCTCCTTGAAGCCCCATCCCTGTGATCAAGCCAATTATGTGGTCACTATCCACGCCTGTTATCTCTCTAAAAGCTAGAATCACAACAAGGTGGAAAAGAAGCAGCTGTGTCATTATCTGTTTCTATAGGCATAGAACCCAGGCGTAACATCTGGCTAGGGTTAAGATAGGGGTGGGCAGAATGTAGAGCTACTGTTAGATCTACTGGTAGATCTTTGGGGAGGTTGCAGTATCTAAGCAAGGATGCCTAACTCCTAATTGTTTTCTTCCCGCAATGAATTACTGAAATGAAAAATATTTAAATTTATGAAAGACTGGGGTTTTCTCTGAATGGATGGTGAGTTCCATTCGTTTCTACAACTCAGAGCTGATTTAGGGCTCAGTGTTCTTGCATTCTAAGTTTATGTCTTCTGCAATCTGGGCTCTAGATGGTGGACCATGGGATATATGATTGAACTGAGACCCTAAACTACAATCTCTGCTCCATTATGAAACTAATTGAGTGACTTTGGACCAAACCCACATTCGGCAACCCCTTCGTACAAGGTTTCTGTGGAGATAAAATTGGATAACTTTATGCACAACAACCTGTTCTCCCGGGAGCAGTATAGAATAATAGAGCTGTGGATCAACATTAATGTTTTTCCTCTTTTTTCCTTTGTTTCTATTTTTTTTCCTCTTGTAGTGCGACAACTGCTGACTTCAACTCTCTGATGCATTCAAAGGTATTTTCAACAGGGGAATTGCTCCAGTCCCTTGATCATTTTTGTTGCCCTCTTCTGGACCTTTTCCAACTCTGCAATATCATTTTTAGATACGGGGACCAGAACAGTAAACCCTAAGCTAAATGTGGTGACACCGTGCCTTACACCGAGACAGCACAATAACAACAGTTTTCCTTTCAATTCCCTTTCTAATAATTCCCAAGACAGAATTTGCTTTTTTAACAGCAAGCACAGATTGAGTTAATATTTTCATCACAAGTTCCATTTAACCAAGTCTTGTTCATTCAAAAGTCTGGTTTAAATAATATCTTTATGGGATCACTCAAATGAACAAAGCAAGCTTCTTTTTTCCCCAGGATTTCTCTCTTTGCCTCTTCTTAGTGATCCCATAAAGGTTTTACTAAACCCAGGCTTTTCTTTCTATACCAGGATCACAAGAGTACTTTAATTGATTTTTCTTTCATTCATTCAATATCATTTGGGACTAACAATAGGATTTAATCCCCATATTCTTTTGGAATCCTGCCATCCCTGTTGTGCTCAGGTTAACAAGTGGTCCACATGCTGATAATTGAGGGTGTGTGTGTGTGTGTGTGTGTGTGTGTGTGTGTGTGCGTGCGTGCGTGCGTGCATGTGTGTGTGAGAGAGAGAGAGAGAGAGAGATTATTTGAAAATGCAAGGCACAATCTTTGACTGGTATTATATAATAGATAACAAGTTTTAGCCAAAACCTGGTATCTGTTGGAGGGAAAACAAAATAACAATGGAAAATCAGGAAGGCTAGAGAATAGAAGGAAGTATTGTGGAGGAGTGTATAGGTGACTGAACTGGAGCACTCTGTATTTCAACATTTTGTTGCACAAGCCAACACTGGATTGCAAGTGTTTTAACTAAGCCTCAAGAAAGATAAGGATTTTCTGTTTCAGTGGGGGGGGAGAGGGTTGATAGCCCTTGGGGTCCCTTGCCTTGATACAGTTCTATAATTCAATGAAACAGCAAACATTGTAATTGAATTAATTATTTGTAGTTGTGATCTCAGCATCATATCAAGGCCTACTTTTGACTGAACCTTAGTTTTGCTAAATTAGGTAGCAGCTGTGGCACACTTTACTTTAAGTACCAGGTATAAGTTTACTGAGAAGGATCTGAAGTGTATTTTCGTATTTGCTAAATTAGGTAGCAGCTGTGGCACAGTCCTGTACTTTAAGTACCAAGTATAAGTTTACGGAGAAGGATCTGAAGTGTATTTTCGTGAAATGGGTACTTTCTAACAAAAGAATATTTCTCTTTCCACAGAACATGAATGGTGTGCATATGATAGCTAACACAATTGGAACGGTGAATTCCAAACCAAATGGACAGCATCGCGCTCAGGTGAGGTCTGCCCACCATCTTCATTTTCACTTTACTGACTGTGCAGAAGGCTTGATGGAGATACTTGTGTTTATTGCTTTGTGCCCTCCCCCTTCATTGGTGTTCCCAACTTTTCCTATGCTAAAAATCTCTCTCAAAAAGTAACATTTTCCCAGTAGGTATGACTCTGTGTAGCTCTTTTCTGTGGAGCTTACAGCAAGCAAAAAAGGGGGATTAATGTGCGTCTGCTTCAAGGAAAGAGTTGTAAAATGCAGCAATATAGTTTGATGAGTAAATGAAATAATTTCCTTTGCTGTAACAAAGATGACACTGTTGTGCTTTCCAGATGCTGATTCTCCTCTCAGAGTTCCTTAATCAGAACAGTGTCACTACTGTTGAAATACTGTTCACTAGCTATACTGATCACTTGCTGTCTAGTGACAACTCAACACAACACAAGAGCACTACGGAGATGTTCACTAAAAGCTAATCTGAATGTGTGAGGAAGGAAAAAGTGCTACCTTCACACACACCCATTTTTTTTCCAAATTAGTGAAAGCAAGTTAATATAGGCCAGTGGCCAGAATCCTACTGCACTTGTTATATGCATGATTATTCAAGATGTTTTTCATGTGCTCAGACGTAACCAAGTTGTACCCTCCAGTATGTGGTTCTTCGTGTATAACAGGTGGCTAGAAAATGGGAAAAACCACATCTACGATTCCTCTATATCTTGCAGTAAGAATTTAGCTAGTAAAGTAAAGGTAAAGGTTCCCCTTGACATTCTTAGTCCAGTCGTGTCCAACTCTAGGGGGCGGTGCTCATTCCCGTTTCTAAGCCATAGAGCCAGCGCTTGTCCAAAGACAGTTTCCGTTGTCATGAGGCCAGTGTGATTAGGGAACGCCATTTTACCTTCCCACTGAGGTGGTACCTATTTATCTACTCGCATTTGCAGGCTTTCGAACTGCTAGGTTGGCGAGGAGCTGGAACAAAGTGATGGGAGCTCTGCGTCAGGTGGATTCGATCTTACGACTGCTGGTCTTCTGACCCTGCAGCACAGAGGCTTCTGTGGTTTAGCCCACAGTGCCACCATGTCCCTATTGCACACACAGACACACACATGTATATATAAGCATATAATATCTATCATATGCTTAACTAATGAAGAATTTTGTAATCAGTCAGAATCTGCCTCTTTCAGCCATGTGTGCCCAAGAAGCAAATATCTTAAAGTATCTTCAGAACAAAATGACATGTGGTGGGGCTCCCTAGTGGCTGCAGCCAGGAGTATACTCTTTTGTGTTTTGGACTCCAACCCTCAGAATTCTCCAAGGATTCCCCAAGCAGAATCCTGAGAGTTCTAGCTTACAAACTTAACTCAACGGATGCTTGAATTTCATTCCCCTAAGAAAGGACTTACCTCCAATGCTGCATTGGCTTTTCTGACATTGGCTTCCTTTGTCAACCTTTGAAAAAGGAAAGAAAGAAGGGTGTTCCAGTGGTTCTGGGAGTCCTAATTCTTCAGGAGGTACCCTTTACAGAGACAAAGAGGGAATGAGACTAGGACGTCCAACGTGTCCTCTGTACCCAGGAGTTCGACATGTGACTGAACCACAGGCCCAGGCCCTCCTGGGGACACAGGAAACTGGGGAATCATAGTTTGGTTGCCCAGGAGCTTTTACAAAATGTGCCTCCTGAAGAACTATGACTCTGAAGAAGCACTGTGCTAAAATTCTCTTTTAAAAAAAAATGTTAACAACAGGAAGCAAATGCTGGTGAAGCCAATGTAGCATCTGTAGTAAGCCCTTCTCTAGCAGTCTATAGATTTGTGTTTGTGATCAGAATGCCCAGAATTCTGCCTGTGAGATTTCTTGGTGAAATCTGGGGTTTTGGAGTCCAAAAACACAAAAGAACAGATCACATCAATTTGTGCTGGCAGGCAGCCCTTTTTGAACTCCCACAATGCCCCTGTTGTAGTGTGGGGGGAACTGAAATAGCAGCTCACAGCCTTGGACGCTGATCAGAACACCAAGACATTCATGGCAAGGGAGGAGAATAAGGTAGCCATTGGTCATATACCCTGATGAGATGCTGGGAGCCCAGATGCTGGTCCCAGGCTTGGCCCGTAGCCCATTTGATGCATGGACAACTCAGACGGAGAGAAAGCCATTGCCCAAAACCATTCCAACCTTGGACTAATCTGAGGAGAACTATCTGCCAAATATTGCCCTGGCCTTCCAGTCATGTGACCTGAGGATTATAAGCTCCTGACAAAACCCGTCTGAACTGAATCTTGCCTCCAAGGCTGCGTGCGGATCAGTGGCCTGATTACAGTTGATCTATTATTTCTGTCACTGACCAAGCAGTTTTCACTGGAGAGGGGTTTCTATTATGAATCCTTTTTGTTCCCAGGGAAAATAAGCTGCCTCCAGAATGTAGACATCTTGGCGCATGGAAAGCTTCTATTCTGGGCTAGGCTAAGCTTTTATAAGTTTTATCAGGCATTATGGCATGACTGCCAGTAGTTTACACATCACCAACTCTCCAGTATTAAAGAAGCCTGACAGGAAATTTTGGTCAGCAAGTTCTCCTCCAAGGCTAGTGAGCCCTCATTAGAGATCTGTAATACCTATTCTGTCTGTGATCTCCTGTAGCATATTTATATCCTGGCTTTAACAAATGGCAGTGCAAATTTGGATGTGTATGAGAGAGAGCCTGACGTATATTGCCATACAACAGTATAAGATTTACTTTGCTAGGCTTTCAACTTTTCTCAAAGCTTTGTCACATATAGTTGCCAATAATCCAGTTGCTGTCTGTTCGTTTCTCAGTATTCTGTGTTCCATAAACATCACAGGTGGCGATCATGTGAGGTTACGGACTGTTCACAAACATTCTAATTCCTGAAGGGGTAAAGGCAGTCACAAAAAAACAGCAAGGTGGTTAAATGCTTTGAAGAAAATGAAAATGACTGGTTGACAAGAAATTAAGGCATCGTACATCTTATTGACAGGAACGTTCATATCCCTGTAGGATAATGACGACAGTGAACACAAAGTCTGACTGTGGTTGGGATGGGATGGAAAAACCGGGGGGGGGGGCAGGAAAGGACATTGCACTAAAAGGCTTCACACTGAGACTTCTCTGGAAGATAAGTTGTAAGCTTTCATTGAACAGGGACACGGAGAAGTGAGGAAAGCTGGATTCAAACAATTGATTTACAGTAGCCTTCCAGATTTGTGTCTAAAGCACTTTTTAAAATGAAGTGTTAAATAGTGAAATCCTATACACATCTGCTGAAAAATAATTCCCAGGGATTCCAATGGGATTTATTCCTAGGATAGGACAGCAGCCTAAGTCATTATCATCTTAGAACTGTAGAGCTGGAAGGGACTCTATGGATCATGAACCCCCATGATCATCTTAGAACTGTAGAGTTGGAAGGAACTCTATGGATCATCAACCCCTATGAAGGAGGCACAGTCAGGGATTGAACTCCCAGCCTCTGACTCTGCAGCCAGATGCCTAAACCACTGAGCTATCCAACAGTTCTGTGGTTGTAAAGAGTGGACACCATGTATCAGGTTAGAGCCACAATGACTGAAATCATGTTGCTTAGCCTAGTAAGTCACATTAGGTCCATTGAATCAGTGGGGATTGGTGAGTCAGCTCCCCCGTAAGTTCTGTTGATTCAAGTGGGGTCAGTAGTTGTGATTTAGTTGTGATTTTCCCTAAACAACAGGACTTGCATTATTTTGCAATGCATTATTTTTTTAAAAAAAAATCCACAACTGTATCTGAAGTGTTCTCTTGTTTCACTTTTTCTATAATATATTAACTTAAATAAAGCTACAATAAATCATCATTTGCACCAATCAATTGCAAATGGCGGTGGTGTTACAGATTAATTTCCATTGGAAAGCGATGTACATTTTTCCTATGGTCAGCACTGCCTAGAGCAATATTTGTACAATACCATAAAAGTGCAATTTATTATTTCAGCATTGCTTCGGAGAGTGTAGGTTTGAAGTCTGATACTAGAGTCTGAGAGCCTGTGCAGTGGTGACTTTGAGAACTGTCGCTGAACGAATTAGCACCTGCACATGAAAAGTGCTCTGTTTGTTTCTCTCAGACCTACATACATATCGGTGAAAGAAATGGTTCAATCTACAGGATGTGGTTTCTTTATAGGCTCAGATCCTTGTCCTGCCACCCCAGCCTCAAAATGTGGACCGTGATGGTAAACTCCAGTATCCATCCAAGCATGATCGTATGGTCTGCAAGTGCCTTTCTCTGAGCATCTCCTATGCAGCAACCATTGGTGGACTCACAACCATCATTGGCACCTCCACCAACCTCATCTTCCTGGAATATTTTAACAAGTAAGTGATACATGTCACACAACTGATGCAGTGGCAGGACCTCGTCATCATCTGACTGCAAGAGGCAGATCATTGCTCTTGCAGCAGTTTCACAAGCTGTTTACCTGTTAGACTAGAACATGTCTATCGTGTCTTTAGATCTACAAATTTCCTCTCCCAACTATATATCCAGTTATGTTCCCAGTTCTGTCCCTTTTTTAAAATAATAAGATAGAATCCAGCCTTTCTTTTGCTGATTTTTCCCCAATGTCTACTTGTTCGCATTGCTTAAAGGGTGTTTAGGCAGCATTCTGTACACACTGGAAATCTGTGCAATTTTTTTAATGCACACATTTCCAAGAGGTATCTTTCCCTCCCAGAGGCATTCTCATTGCGTAGATTCCAAAACTCAGATTGTTTCCTATCTGCAGTCAGTACAGGAAATATGGACTTGAAAAAGTTCACAGTAAATGTCAGCTGGAATGAGCTTGCTTCCACATCTCTATTTACTGTCGCCTAAGGAAAATAGCTAGTGAGATGAGTGTGTTGTCATATCAAACTAAGACTCAGAAGAGCTGGTTTCAAATCCCAGGTTGACTCCATAAACTCACTGGAGGGAGGGTGGCAACGATAAATGACTGCTTGAACATCTTGCATACCTCGAAAATCCTATAAGTGACTTGTTGACAGATAACAATATCTAGGAAACTAACAGTCAGGGTGATTTTATATTCTGCTTACATAGTCCAGTACTGTCTGTGCTGGTAGAAAGTAATTGCACTGGGGACTCTGGAAAAAAGCCTTTCATGGACTTGTTATCTAAGTTTCTTATGAATACAGATCACAGAAACTGAACCTGGGTTTCTATAAAGTCCGAGTCATGTGCTTTATTTTGCCCAAGATGTTGCGGAAGATCAAGTTCGATGGAGAACACTTGCTGCCCAATATAATCTGCATGGGACCTGATGATGATGATGAAGCCATGTGCTGTATAAAGCTATGGCCCTGACCTGTTTTGTCCATTGGAGATAAATTGCAGGGATCCCTTGGAAAGACTACATGGGAAAGATTGTTATTATTCTCTCTCTGCTGCTTGATTTGGTAAGGACTGAGGAAGTTGTGAGAAATTCGGCCACTGAAGTCTGGCCCAGTGTTGCTGTCATTGACTGCCGGCCGCTCTCTGGGGCCTCAAATAGGGGTCTTTCCTAGCCTAGCCTGGAGATACTGGGTTTGAGCATGGCTCTTATGCATGTGCGCCAACACTAAGCTATGGACTCTCCAATTTAGACTTACATTTTCTCCCCAGCAGCCCAGATTTCACCATGCTTCCACGGGCGTAAAACTCTCTTAATTTCTGCCTAAGTGCTTTTATGTCTTTCACATAAATTATGATCCTGACAGGTCCAAGGTCTAAAGAGAAGCCAGTACTTTCCTGGTATAATTGATGGGAAACTGAAGCTGAGAAATGGTAGCCTGCTTAAGGCCCATTGGAAGTTCTTTTACTAAGTGCAAATTTTCACGGGGTGACTTTCTGCCACAGCTCTTCACTATATGCTGCGCAGAGCAAGTTCCGCTTTCATTTCCATTCCCACTCGTTCCTCATGTTTTATCACTACAGGCACCAAGATATTTGAGGGGAGGGGAAGAATCTTTTTCTCGGGTTATTTTGGATGGCTCCATCTGTTCTCAGTGATTTGTTCCCTCTGCAAAGTCATAATCTTCCAAGTGCAACATCATTATGTTTTTTAATGTGGCAAATTATGTTAACAATAGATGGGAAATTAATGAAGCCAAAGGCATGCCTAAACGACTTCAAAAGACAAATGATCTGATTTTTATGAATGTTTTCAGGCAGATTTACTTTTAAGGATTAGAGAGAGAGAGAGAATGAAATGCCTGAAAGGGGAAACAAAATATTAAGATGCTGTTTGGAATCTCAGAGCACTCTGAGTTGTGCAAAATAGAACAGAGGTCTTATCAGACTCACACTTAACCAAAGTATTGGAAGGAACAAAGCCCGCAAGCTCTGATGACAGTGGGAGGATAATTTGTACTCCGGTTGTACTCCAGATATGTGAGGAGGGATCCAAGGTGGTGAAAACCTAGCCCCAAAACAGATTTGGCAGCTTGGATCACTCCTGTAGCATCGGGACTACAATCCACTGTGGATTCACCATCTCCCCTCTGACACTGAAGCCATCTTTACAAGGAAGAAGGTTCTGTCTGGAAAATTCCACAGTATCTGACACTTTCTACAGCTTGCAGCTTTGTTGTTGTTGTTGTTGTTGTTGGAAGACAAATAGGGAGTCAGGAACAACCTCCCTCTGGATTTTGTGCGGCCCCCACGCTGGGTACCTTTAAAAGCCAATTAAAAATATGGCTGTATATTCAGGCCTTCCCTCCAGTCAATACTTGATTTTTCTTTTTATTCTTCCTTTATTTATTTCTTACACTATCTTTGTATTGTAATTTGTTATCGGATGACTTATGTAATATTCTTGTATTATTTTATTGTTTTATGTTATATTGGAAGCCGTCTAGAGTGGTCGTATAGACCAGACGGGCGGGATACAAATCAAATAAATAAATAAATAAATAAATAAGTAAATAAAGATGATAAAACCAAATATGATGCTAAGACAAAACCTCCCTCTGAAGATTCACGCAGCCCCCACGCTGGGTACCTTTAAAAGCCAATTAAAAACATGGCTGTATATTCAGGCCTTCCCTCCAGTCAATACTTGATTTTTCTTTTTATTCTTCCTTTATTTATTTCTTACACTATCTTTGTATTGTAATTTGTTATCGGATGACTTATGTAATATTCTTGTATTATTTTATTGTTTTATGTTATATTGGAAGCCGTCTAGAGTGGTCGTATAGACCAGACGGGCGGGATACAAATCAAATAAATAAATAAATAAATAAATAAGTAAATAAAGATGATTAAACCAAATATGATGCTAAGACAAAAAAAAAGGAAGAAGAAAAAAGCTGTGAAAACTTTGTACACAGTCCAAAGACAAATGTGGGCAATCCCTTTATTAGACCCCAAAAACAAGCTAGTTTTTAACTCCTGAAAAAATCATTGTCACAGAGAGAGAATGGTTCCACAAAATCATGGCCAGATGTATGTGCCAGATCCCACTGTTCAAAGCAAGTTTCAGATTGGGAGCTGCAGAGTCAGTTTAGAGATAGCAGGTTGCCGATTTCACCTCTGAGGATGTAGATTTGAAGTTCTGTCCCAACCCTCTTAGACAAAGAAATGGCAGAGATTTGGATTTGTTTGTGTGTGTGTGAGAGAGAATGAGTGACTGGCAGTTCTTTGTCTAACAAGATGGGGAGAGACCTTCTAATCTAGATCCTCAGAGGTGAAATTTGAAACCTGCTACCTCTAAAACCAGGCTGCAGCCCCCGTTTTTGAATTTGTTTTAAACAGCCTGAAGTACCTGGCTCAGCCAGCCAGCCATGATCTTATGAGCTCCTTATCACAGCTTTGTTTTGGTTGTTAAATAGCAATATTAGCAACCATGAGCAGATGCACAGTCAGAAAGAATGGAAACACTTAGACGGAGTGATTTTCCTCCATTGTGTTGGCAAAAGCAGTTAACCGCACCTCCTCACATGTCATAATCTTGGGAATCTGGCATTTCCTGTCCATTTGCAAAGAAAACTCACATTTGAGGGCTTTTTCTCCACTTCCTATATATTAGGTATACCTAATTCATTTAAATTTTTTAATATTTATGGGGGGTTTGTGTTCCCTGAATAAGTACAAATGAAACAAGAAAGTAGTCATAGGTTGTTGATGAGATGTTGAATTACATGGTTGTGATGAGAAGGAAAAGGAGGGTATGTTTAAGTTGTTGAGTTGTAACCCAAGAAAAACTGAAGCTCAGAAATGTTTTCCCAAGTTGTTAATTTGTAGTAAAGAGAATATTGGATTTTTTTTGAAGCTCAGAAATGTTTTCCCAAGTTGTTGCTACTTTGTAGTAAAGAGAATACCGGATTTTTTAAAATTCTTTAACCACTGGGTCTAGTGTGGTTAATGGCTGAGTTCAAACCTTTTAATGGAAAGTTATTTTAAAAAAGTGACGAGCTTGAGTTGGGGCTGGTCACAAGTACAAATGAAAGGAGAAAGTAGGCATAGGTTGTTGGCATAATTTGGGAAGATGTTGAATCACATGGTTGTAATATGCCTGTTTTTTTTTTTTTTATTGCCATACAGCCATTATCCCAATGCTGATGTAGTGAATTTTGGAACCTGGTTTTTATTCAGCTTACCCATCTCCCTCATCATGTTGGTGCTGACCTGGTTCTGGATGCACTGGCTTTTCCTGGGCTGCAAGTAAGTAGCACCCGCAAGTTCTCTGCAAGACACCTTTAAAGGAGAACAGTACCCTACAGTTTCCCAAGGTCTAAAATTTCCCCTCTTATGAGACGGTTGAAAAATTCAATCTTTGTGAATTACAAGGTGAACTGATCTGATTGGCCCCTCTTAAGACTTTTAAGAGAAGTGTATAAGAACTATCTTCTGGACCGCTGAAGCACTGGGGAGGCTCTCAGAACAGTACCCTACAGTTTCCCAAGGTCTCAAATTTTCCCTCTTATAATAGAGACGGTTGAAAAAATCAATCTTTGTGAATTACAAGGTGAACTGATCTGATTGGCCCCTCTTAAGACTTTTAAGAGAAGTGTATAAGAACTATCTTCTGGACCGCTGAAGCACTGGGGAGGCTCTCTGACTGATCAGCTGCTCTCTCTTTTTTTTTAAAGGATGCATTGCAAGTGAAGAGTTTTTATCAGTAAGCATATTTCCTGGGCTTTGCCTCTCCCCACCTTTTAAAAAATGGTTATGCCATTAACACTGAGCATGCATGATTGTGTGTACGGGGATATGGATTTTCTCCTTGCCCTGTTTTGGCTTCTCTTGTTGGTGTGGTGGTTTCACTTCCAAAGGTCTTAGTAGTAGTTGTGTCCTGCTTCCTTTAAGCTGGAAGTGGGTGAATTTTTTTAGTGATGCTAGGCTACCCTGCTTCCACCCCTATATCATAGCCATGTGTGATTCCCTCTTTGTGGGAATGGTTTTTCCTCTTGGAGATCAGGATAAAACACAACCAACAGCACTGACAAAGAGCAGGTCAGAGTATCACCAAAATGACACAGTGTGGTTTGAGCGCCTATCTTTGTGCTCTTATTCAGGCATAGAGTGGTGGAGGAGAGAATGTATCCCTCATTAAGATATAAGGCAAGCCAGCATTTATTATGGCAGTGCCCACTCTTTGGCATTCCTTGCTACGGGAAATCTGCCTAACCTTTTCCTCATTCTCTTGATGCTGACAAAACAAAGCTCTTTTTGGTTGTTGTGGGGGTTTTTTTGGCTCTATGGCTGTGTTCTGAAGGTTGTTCTTCCTGACGTTTCACCAGTCTCTGTGGCCAGCCACTGAAATGCATAAACATCAGCATAGCTTTAACAAAAAAGAAGAAAGTCTGAAACGGAACGCCTCGCTTTCAGCACTGGAAAATACAGCCTGCAGAAGGTCAACAAACTCTACCCAGCCACAAGGACCAGGGATCATTGCACAAAAAAGACCAGCTAAAGACAGCCATCAGCCACAGTGACAGATAATCTCTCCCACTTATCACAACAATTCATCCACAACAAAAATACGCTGATCACCCTATTTCCTGAAAAGGATAAAAGCTGTTACCACAGCTATAAATACTCAATTATCCAATAAACAGCAACAGAGCATGGACAGAGTTCCTACTCCAGTCCTCTGAAGATGCTGGCCACAGAGACTGGCGAAATGTCAGGAAGAACAACCTTCAGAACATGGCCAAAAAGCCTGAAAAACCCACAACAACCATCAGATCCCGGCCGTGAAAGCCTTCGAGAATACAAGCTCTTTTTGCTTACAAATAGAGGCTATTGTTGATCTTTTGCATTGCTTTCAGTCCTGGCCTTAGCTGCATTTAAATTATTTGAGGACATACTGTCAGGGAAACTATGCTCCTCCCCCAGCAGGGTTATAGTTTTCATCATCTATTTTGCACTCTACAGTATTTTGTATGGTGGGTTTCAGTTATAATGGCAGACTTCACATTGCATTGCTTTGTGAGAAAATATTTTAAAGAAAGAATTGCCATACCCATTAATTGCTGGAAGACAGAAATGACCTCAAGTTGACATTGGCCTTATCTGACTTAGAACATGGAACTCCTCCATTCAGTTTCCCGAGCCTTTCTGTTTCTCAATATAAATGGGCTATAATAAATCAGAAATCATGCATAATCCTGCAACAAGTCCTAGCATGATCCACAGTTCTTTCACAAAGAGCATTCACATTCCACATGGCCATTCCAAGAATTCCCCCTAATAAGTGTTTTTTTTTAATTATCCGTGACAGAGTTAAACCTTTTATGAAATGTTAGGAGGTTCTGAGGCTCATTAATCTATGACTCCTGTTTTCTGTGGCTTGTTCAAGAATGGATTACCCTGGAAATTTGGCATTGCAGCTGCCCATGAACAGGAGATAATCAAAGAAGCCAAAGACCATTTTGGTCTGCTACGGCCAAAGCATTTGTGGGAAAGGGGCAAAGTAAGGCAGATCATGAGGGCAAGGAGGCCAAGAAACAAGATTCAAGCAGACGTCTGATCCTTATTATGGATCAGACTATCCATGTGATTCCACCACCACACCACCCAAGCCCCAGCATTCTTAGTTCTGACCCCAAAGAGACAGCAGCCATTGAAGACCCATAGTGACATTGCATATTGATGATGGGGAAGGATGTAAAGAATTATTTGTTGGCATGCAAAGCAAACTGATTGTGGCTTTGATGTTTACTCTTCAATTGGTGAGGTAGGGTGGCTTAATTTACACATACTTTGCTAGTACATACCTGCAAAGAATCTGAAGACAGGCCAGGCAGCCCCTGATAACATCTTGCTAAACTGCACAACAATCAGACCTGTATAAGCTTTCAGGATGATGACTCCAGATAGTGTAGCTCAGCCTCAGTACACAGCCATGGTTGGAAACCTATTGGTGTTCACATATGTTTCAGATAACCTGCTGCAGCTAATCATGGCTAAATGAGATACTGGGGTGCACCTCATTTGGGCAGTCATCCAGCAGGACTCTTGTTATGTTCATATCTGTGTATAAAGGAAAACTGTAGATCTGGAATGATTCAAAGCAAAGAAAAGTTATTTTTTAAAACTATATGCAGGCCGAGGGATTCTGGGCATCACATTTCGAGAAAGTAAAGTTTACAGGCTCTGGAATGGTCGTATGCTATTGTGGAAAGTTGATGCTTTTTTGCAAAAGATATTGTCTATTGCATAAATATTGTCTGTAGAATAGGCAACCAGGATCGGGCAGTCCCACATTGGATGAAGAAAGCAAAGATTACTAACCCTACCCCTATCCCCCTTTGTTTTGCCTCTTTTCACAAGGAAAGTGATAGCCTGAAGAATATGCATGCCATCTCTCTATATCAGAAACCCTGTCTTTTTTATCAGAATGCTGTATCATGTAAGAGATGCTCCTTTTCAGCCTGTCATTCTTCATGTGAAGAAAGTGACAAATGAGGAGGTGGATCTACCTTGCTCCTTCTCCTGGTGCATCAAGTTAACACTGCCCTGAACATCTGAATAGGACTATTGCAGTCAACAGATTAAAGAGATGCCATTGGGCCCACATAGAAAGATTTGCTTCTTTAAAAAAAGGTTGATAAACAAGCATATCTGGCATAGTGAGAATTAGTTCAGTTGCTTTTGATAATGATGTTTTATAAGTGCTGAAAGAACAATATTTGGTGCATACTTCAAGCTTCACTTCCATAACCTGATTGCTTTCTATCTCCACGGGTCTCAGTTTTAAAGAAACATGCTCAATAAGCAAGAAGAAAAAGACCAAACGGGAAGAGATGTCGGAGAAGAGAATCCAAGAAGAATATGAAAAACTGGGAAATATTAGGTAAATGAAGTGCATGGATATTGTTTTTCTTTTAACACTTGGGAAAGAACTCAAGAGTAACAAGACTAAAAAGACCACAGAGGAGGTGAACTTCATACTTTGAATAGAACTAATAATAAAATATTTGACTGCAGTTAATACAAACAATTTGATTTCACTATTTCCTTTCTAGCTATCCCGAGATGGTGACTGCTGTCTTTTTTATCTTGATGACGTTGCTCTGGTTTACAAGGGAGCCTGGATTTGTACCAGGCTGGTCCTCTTTATTTGAGAAGTAAGTTTCAACTAGATACATAACTTCATATTATCACAAGGAAGGGCTGATAGGTTGTGAAGTATCCCGGAATGGGACCAGCTGCTTGATGCAGGAAATCCAGAGTTAGACCATCTGCATCAGATGGCCACCCACCTTCTTCTTGTAGACTAGTAGTGGACAATTTTGATGGAGTGTTGGGACCAATTTTCTCCCTGCAAAATCTTTGCAAGAACATGGACCACCAAAAATGGTGTTGGGTTTGGGAGTGAAACCAGAAATGGATCAGATTCCGAGTTTTGGAAGATGCAAATTTGTGACATTAAACTGGAGACTGGTAACTCTGATAACCACAGAATGACAAATGTGCTCCATATTTTAGGCAGAAACTCACAGGAGCTATCCAAGGAGTTAACCCTACCCCCAAAATAGATTCAGAAGTAGAGATGGGGGTATTCGTATATGAATACAAATATCCCCATGCAGCTGGACTTAACAAGGGACCATCCACTAATGCAGCCAGCAGCGGTGGCCTCACTCTTCCTTCCAATCACTCCTGGAGTGCCCCTTTCTTCCTACTCAGAACCTTTGACGACTCCTTAAAGTTCAAACAGAACTCAGTACTGGATTTACTCACTTATTGACACAGAGGGGCTGTGGCCTATTTACAGTGGATCCTCGACTTACAGACTTTTCGAGTTACAGACTTCTCTGGCCGCAAAATTTAGGTTCGACTTGCAGCCTGAGAATCGACCTACAGACCAGAAAAAAACCCAAAATGGAACAAAAATGGAACAAAAATGGCCGGTTATGGGATTAATCGGTTTTCAATGCATTGTTGGTCAATGGAGACTTGACCTACAGACTTTTCGACCTGCAGCCACCGTTCCAATATGGATTAATTCGTAAGTAGAGGGTCCACTGTAAAAGATGAATCCCTGCTCCTGAAGGCTTCCAAAATCGCCTCTCTTTTTTACTTCAGAAAATACATTTTCTGACCATGAGCAAGGGCATAGGGTTGGGCAAGAGGCCACAAAAAGAAATTTGGGGAGAGTATACCGCCCCAAGGCTGAACTTTACCCCACTTTACCCCTCAGCCAAAGAGAACTTACCACTGTTCCAGGTACTGTAGTTTGTTTCATTTGCAAACTGCTCTTCACAGCAAAGGAACTGATCTGCCTGGTAGAGTACGTTTTCTTCAGGCTTTCTAAACAAGATTGGGAGAAATGGGAAGGGCCAACTTAAATGGCATTAAAAGAGATAAGACACATTCATGGATGATAAAAGTCTCAGCAGTTATTCATCATGATGGCTAAATGACCATCTCCAGGAATTGAAGCAAACTTTCTGAATACTAGGTATTGAGAAACAAGAGGCATGTGTTTATATCCTGTTTGTAGAGTTTCCAAGAGGATTCGGTTGGGTAGCTATTGTAGGAAACAGGGTTTCCTATACATGGGCATTTGGTGAAATTCAACAGTGCTTTTCTAATGCTCTTTTGATTTTTAGATACCTAAAGGTTGCTAGTTGCGTGGAATTGCAAATGGAGAATCATGAAATGTCGGTTCCCACCAATTCCCCTATTCTTATTGGGAGCCTCAGAGTGGGAGCCTTTAGTGTCAAAAAATGGCCACCACCCATCCTGAACCAAGTGGCAAGATCTTTTTAAAGAATATTAAGGTCTTTTTGTGCAGCTTATTATTCCAGCCTGCCATAAAAGAATTCAATGTCTGTCTCTTAGGAAAGGCTATCGGACAGATGCCACAGTTTCTGTTTTCCTTGGGTTCCTCCTATTCTTGATTCCAGCAAGGAAACCGTGCTTTGGGAAAAAAGCAAAAGGTATGAGTGATTTAAATACGCAGTAGCATTCCCCCAGTGTCATTAACTGTTCTCCAGCTTCGAAACTAGCAAAGGACAAGACCACACATTCATCTTGTCTAGTGGTAGCCACAGTACTGAGCGTTTGGTTTTGTTACTTCCGAGGTAGACTTCAGCTTGGGTCCTTTGTTTAAGGTCAGTAAGAGGCAAAAATTTCAATCAAGCTCATAATGACAGGCATTCTGATCCAGTTCACCTTGTGAACTCTCAGCCCAGAAAGTATACTTATAAATAAAGCAAGGCTGGGAAAAACCTTTCAGCCTAAGTGCTCAATTCTGATTCAGAGAGCTTCCTGGAAGCCACATCCTAGTAATGTGGAGGGCCAAAGGCAAACAAAAGGGAAACAAAAGTATTGTACCATCCTATTTTACTTTAAAGCTCTTACTGCCAGTCAGTTAGCCTTAGGAGAAGCATTTTCAGCCTTTTGGGAATGTGTGGAGGGGCAGAAACAAGGCTACCAAACAATCATGTAATGGGAAAGGGGTATAATTATCTATGGAAACACTAAAGGGCTGAGCGGGCCCTCAGAAAGGCCACATATGGCCACAGGGCCTCAGGTTCCCCACTCTTTCTGTAATGGATTTCAGGAACGGGTGCCTCATTTTCTTCATATTTACGACTGACTTCTTGTGGTGCAGTGGCAAATTTGAAAGTGCAGGTGCTCAATACATAGCCAACCCCCTCCATTCAGAGCCCAAAAAACTACAGGAATAGACAACACAATACCAGTCCTTTAAAAATCTATTTCTCTTCCAGCTGCTGTGAGGATTGCAACAACCAATGGAGCTGGAGAGCCAGGTGGCAAATGATATGATAATCTTTGCTAACTAGAAGGTCCCAGGGGCTTGGCCACACAAGCGCTGATTACACTGATCCTTGTATCTTTCCCTAAGGCTTCCCATGTACTGTATGTTTCTTCTCACTGATCCAGGATAGGACTCATTGCCATTTCCTCATTTCTTTCATCCTTTTACCCTTGTATTCAAATGACATGGACTGTCAATGACTCTCAGCTTAGGAATTTATGGAGCTCCAGATGTTGCTGGAATACAACTCTTGCGACCCCTTGCCTTTGACTACGCTGGCTAAAGTGAAGGGAATTTGTGTCCAACATTACAGTATCTGGAAGGCCACATGCTCCCAACCCTAGGAGAGACATTATCTTTTCCATATCTCAGAACTTTCTGGGTTGCTACAACTGAATGAGATTAGACTTTAGACATGCTCATTTGTGCAAATTGAAGCCCAAACACGGGCAACTCCTTGCTTTACAGAAGAAAATATTCTCTGTAGAGCCTTGACTCACTTGATCCATTCTCTTCTGCACATCTACAAAATGCACTGGGCCATTTGGCTCCAATTTAGATGAAGTTTATATTAGGTTTTTAAAAAGCGTTGAACAGTTAAAAACATTCAGATAGGGTTAGGCAGAAGAATGTATTCAGTAACATGGACCCTGTGCGGGAACTCCGCGTGCTTCATCAGGAAAGCTTCTTGATAGTGTGGTTCACACCACCCTCAGTTGGAAAAATAGGATTTGCTAAGGAATGGAGGCAAATGGCAACTTTATCTCTCCAGCTGCATCTTCCTTTGTTACAGGAGATGTCACAAATTCTACAGACGTTAACTCAGGAGGTGCAATCATCACTTGGAAGGACTTTGAGAAAACAATGCCATGGGAGATTGTTGTTCTGGTTGGAGGAGGTTATGCTTTAGCAGCTGGCTGCAAGGTAAGACAATATAGGGGTATGAGAGTGTGACGAAGCAGAGCCCGTACACAGAAATGCTTCCCTAACCCTAACCCTATCTACGTATAAAGCACGATGGGGGAAATTTCTCTGGTCAGAAGCCACATTCCTGCTGTGGATAATCTACACAGCATCTATTGCTGTCAGGGGAAAAACAAAAATCTGACTCCTTTGATGCCACAGTATACTAAGTGAGGTCTGACCAAAGAGGAATTGAGCACTACTATTACTTCCCTTGCCCTGGACACTAAACATTCCCCTGATGTACCGAGCTTGTACTTCTATTCAAAAAAACAAAACAAAACTCAAGAATTAAAATTAGTTTGACATGACTTCATTTTGACAGGCCCATGCTGGCTTTTACTAAATACTATGTTCTTTTCTAAGTGTTCAAAACCCAACTCTAATAATTTGATCCCATTCATCTCAGTCACATTGTCTTCCTTGTCTTTTATCCTGCCCCGTACCAGATAAGCTATTTTCTCTTATGCTGCCTTTCCCTCTCCATTCACTAATAATGAGCTGAAATTATTCTCTGAAATATCCTGCTTTGAGGATATTCTGCGTAACTGTAGCCTGGTTACAATTCGTGGTAGAAGGAATCGGGGACTGGAGTTCAAAAGACTGAGCTTCCCTCTGGGAAATCCTGATTCCCAGCCTGCTCCAGACCCTTCTGGTAGTGGGTCAGGTCCAAAATAGTTGCACTCCTACCACTACCCACCCTGCCCTCTACTGCCCTACCCATACACACACACATGCAGTCTTTTTAGCCTCTCCCCTGGAAAATGATGCTCCAGAGGTGCTAAAGAACATGGGATTCTTCTCCCCCATACCTTTGATTTAGCTCAGGATGCAGAAGAGACTACATATCCCATGGCAGGAAATGACATTCTCATTTCCTGTTGAAGAGAGGCCACCCACCCTTTTCTGCATTAAGCTCTTCTTATCATTACCCTATCCTTTTATTCAGAAAGCATTTGCTTTTGCTTGGCAGCAGAAGAATCAGTGGGGGAGAGATCTGTGTTTGACCCATTTCCCCTACGCTGTACAGCTTTGAAGGATCATTTTGAACTATCTCCAGAAAAGACAGGAAGATGAGGAGGGAGGGAAAGATAAATGCTGAGACAAACCAGGGCAGCCAAAGTCTTATTCAAATTTTCTACATATGTAAGATGGCAGTGGCTTTTTGCCTTGGTGGCTTGTCCCCATCACATGATCTATCTTGCCATCAGTGCATGCGCAGTTTAATGAAGAAGAGGCTGCAGGAGGGGGGAAATACACACAATGACCATATACAATCACATAAGCAGAGGTGCTGTCCTCTGAAGATGCCGGCCACAAAGACTGGTGAAACGTTAGGAAGAACAACCTTCAGAACACGGCCAAAGAGCCCGAAAAACCCACAACAACCATTAGATCCCGGCCATGAAAACCTTCGCGAATACATACCCCCAAAACTGTGATTCCCCATTATTTCTTTACTCATGTCTCTTCCTTCAGAATTCTGGTCTTTCCACATGGATTGGGCGGCAGATGTTGTCCTTGAGTAGCCTTCCTTCTTGGGCTGTCAGTCTGCTAGCCTGCCTCCTGGTATCCATAGTAACGGAGTTTGTCAGTAACCCAGCCACCATAACAATCTTCTTGCCTATTTTATGCAGTATGGTGAGTACCAATTTCGGATGGGTTTAGATTTTGTGGAATATGTAAACTGTTATTTCTGAAGAAGTGGACTTGTCCAACAAAGCTCACATTAAAACATAGCAGGTAGTCTTGTCTTCCTTACTTTTTATTCTTGTTTTGTTTTGGCCTGACAGCCTATGATAACTAACAGTATATCTTGGACACAGTGCAGAATGAGACTCAATACTCCCAGCAATGGTACAAGGGCATGCAATGGCCTCTTGCACAGTTACGCTCCATCCTCAGGACACACTGTAAAAACAAGTTTTCAAATTGCTGAGTATTGTGACCCAGGGATGATTGTGTGGTTTGTTCTGTCCAAGATTCTGTAACAAATACTGTTGTACATGTGCCACATCTTTGATAGTCCTCCAAGACACAATGGAGCCTAAGTCCTGGGTTTGGGAGACAGTCCATTAACAGGCAGTAGGCCAATGCTTTGCATCCAGGATGCCTCAGAATGAATTCCTCACAGCTCCACAAAGGAAAGGACTCCTCTTTGAAGCCTTAAACAATAACTGCCAAGTGCAGACAATTGTCAAACCTTGGCACATTATTTGGGGGAAAGAACATGCTACCAGAATTAATTTTTACTTAGAGCAACGGCAAAAGCAAAAAAGACGTCATAAGGCATTCATTATTTGTTATGTTTAAAGCAGGGTGGGTATCCTCCAAGGCACCATGTTTACCCTCACATGGTCCTCTGAAGGGTATACTCCCATGTCAAAAAGACCTTCAACCAATAAATAAGTGTATACCACCACACAAGCCGAGGTGTGATATGCACTGAGTTTATTTTGTGCCTAAGACTGTTTCAGGCACATAACAGAAAGTGGCCAGGTTTCTTTTTTAACAAAGGGGTTATTTTGGATCTAAAACAATGTTGGAATAGGGCCAAAAGAGACTTCCACGTGCAAATTGTGTTGTCCCCAAGGCTTCTGGGGGTGGTTATTGCACCTTTGTTTAATAAAAATTCTTCAGAGGTGCTTGAGGGACTGAGAGGCACACTTTGCTCGCATCTGTTCCAGAGTGACATGTTAATAATGATTATGTGCCCTCAAGTCAATCCCGATTCGTGGCAACCCTTTTGAGGGTTTTCCAGATAGAGAACATGCAGAAGTGGTTTACCGTTCTCTTCTTCTGTGGGTGCTCTAAGACTGAGCAGCTTCGCAAGGCTACACAGGCTAGCTGTTACCATTCTCTTCTTCTGTGGGTGCTCTGAGCAGCTTTGCAAGGCTACACAGGCTAGCTATACTCTCGGGAAGCACAGTGGAGAATTGAACTCCCAAACTCTGGCTTTCTCATACCTAAACCACTGAGCTATCCAACCAGGTCATGTTACTGTCATTCTATTAATGTACCATTGTTTTTCATTTTTAAGTTAAAAAGTGTGTTTTTTTACAAAAATGACCAGTTAAAAATACTTGTGTGCTTAAAAAGAGCCATCATCTTTGTGTATGTGTGTGTGTGAACAAGTGAGTTAAGGCACAAAGTAGTGTTGTGTGCGTATGTGTAAGCACAAAGTAGTGGCATGAGCCCCTGATCTGTCTTGGGAGCAATGGAAAGTAGAGGTTTAGCATCTCTGAGATAGCAGGGACAGGAAACCATCCTGCCCCTGCTACCTCACCTGCTCTTTGGCCCCAAAAGTGCAACATTTAGTGAATGCCACTTGTAGTGCTAAAGGTGCCACATAAGAGAGGAGGGGTTAGAGATGAATATGGAGTAGGAATGAAAGCCTCATCCCATTCTAGATTCACATTTGCTGACCTCCTTTTTATGGGAAAATGGTGGTCAGTTATTCTTTTTTGAAAATGATGGATAATGTCGATCTTGCTGTTTTAACCAATCTTAATAAGAAATGAAACACATATAGAAGTTTCCCTTTCCTTCACCTTGCTATAGAGACGTCCCTTCTAGTTTTGTTGTTACTATTCTTGGATTTTCAGTTGTTCCTGCCCCTAGATCTTCCCTTGGAAAATGACATCAGAAGGACCCTTAGGTCTGGACAAGGGCGGGAGCCAAAGCTATTTTTTATGTGGCCCCCCCCATAGAAATTAATTGCCCACCCCTGCCATAGATCTTCCCTCAGAAAATGGCATCAAAAGGACCCTTAGGTCTGGACAAGGGCAGGAGCCGAAGCTACTTTTTGACACAACTTTATTAACTAAACCAAAGAAGTAACTCCAAACTATTCTAATCACTTAAGTCTTCCTTCAGTCGGCCTGATCCTGAGTGGCATTTATGTCCTTCCTTCAGCCTCCCTTCCAAGTCTGTAAAGGCTTAAGGCTATCCTTGTCACTGCCTTCTGCTTCAGGAAGAAGATGTTCGCTGGCTGTCCCAAACCACAGCTTCCAGCTGTTGGAGGCAATTAAACTGTCCCTGCCTCCTCCACCACTGTAACTGCATCAGAGTTGTGTCGTTGGGGTAGGATAGGCAGGAAGCTTCTGGTCCCTTTCTCTACGGCAAGCTGGAACGCTAGGCTTGCAGATGCTCCTGAAGCAGTTTGGGCTGAGACTACCTCAGTGCTTCCACCCATGATTCCCCTTCCTCATCTTATCCCACCTTCCTTCTGCTCCTCTTCCACAACTATCCACTGCAAGCACAAAGAGGTTGTCTGGAGTTTTGGAGTCACTGTTACACTGATGGCAGTCAACTCTCTCCTTTCCACCTCCCTGCAAGGAAGCTGTTCCTGTGCAAAACCAGCATCTGTCATTGTTAGTGGACTGAATGAGGGCAAACAGATTGAAATTTAAGGCAGCCACGACAAAGATGTTTCTGGTTAATTGAAAGCCAGGTCAGGGAACAGTGATTCACTTGTGCTGGATGGGGCTACAGTTTTCCTGGAAAAAAAAAACAAATTTTGCTGTTTGGGAATACTCCTTGACTCATCTTTGAGCCTGGGAGCCCAGGTCTCAGCAATAGTCATTTGCTCACTTAAACCAGCATGCCAGCTGTGCCTATACCTTGAACTGCCTGATTACAGACACATGGCTTACTTACTTCCTGTTTGGATCACTGCAATCTGCTCTACATAGAGCTGCCCTTGAAAAAGGTTTGGCAACGTCAGCTGGTTCACTCAGGGTGAGCCCCTCCTGTTGCTTCTTCATCCTCTGCCACCATAGGTGACATGCAGGACCAGGGGGAATCCCCTTGTTATCTCTGACCATTGATTGGAAAGAGTACAGTGGTGCCTTGCATTACGAGCACTCCATTTGATGACAAAATCGTTTGACGTTGAAGATCTTGTAATCGCAAAATGATGTTCCCTGTGGGGGGATTTTGCTTTGCGATGATCAGTTCCCTGCTTCGGTAACCAATCATTGCAAAGCGATGATTTCCGCACAGCTGATCGGCAGTTTCAAAATGGCCACCGTGTAAAAAACATGGCCGCCCGCTGTTTTCTGGGACAGATTCTTCGCTGCACAGGCAGCGAAAATAGCCGCGCTATGGAGGATCTTCGCTGGATGGCGAGTTTGAAGCCTATAGGAACACTTTAATTGGGGTTTAATGCATTTCTATGGGTTTCTTAATATCGCATTATGACGTTTTCGTTCGACAGCGATTTTGCTGGAACGAATTAACGTCGTCATGCAAGGCACCACTGTAGTATGATTCCCCTGCATCACTCTCAGGGAACTGTCTCTGTACAAGGATGTAAGCAGCATAATGATAGGACTAGACATGTCCAAAGTAGGAGGAAGTATCATACAGTGGATTGAGCGTGGGACCAGGGGTTTCCTCTCCTGCTTTAGAGTCTAGGAAGCCACCATTTTGTTACGGAATGTTTTTTCATCAACGGTTAATCCAAATCTCTTTCTTTCTCTCTTTTTCTCTAGTCAGAAACTCTGCAAATCAACCCTCTGTACACCCTGATCCCTGTCGCTATGTCCATCTCTTTTGCAGTGATGCTACCAGTGGGCAACCCTCCAAATGCCATTGTCTTCAATTATGGACACTGTCGGATCAAAGATATGGTAAGGACTAGGAATGATCTGATCTGATCTGGTAGACGTGGACATCTCCCTCTTAAGGCACTAAAAGCAGCACAGGTGTTTGGGGATTAGATTGAAATGATGGATCAGCCAAATTTGAAACAGGATATCATTTTGAAATTTCAACTCTTGAGCTCAGATATAACACCAGCATTTCTATAAAACTCTTGGAATATAGAAAAAATGTGACTGAAGAGTGAGGAAGTTTCTAAAATTGACTACTTAAATCATTTTGTTTGGCCTATCCTGTGAGGCAATTTGTCTGTCCAGGCCCATCTTTTCTGCCAAGTCATAATTCTCTGTGATAGATGTGATGTTTGACTCAGTATACTAAGACTACTAGAGCTAGGAAGTCATCGTTTTGACTCCCAGAATAGATAAGGTGGTCAGGCACTCCCATTTAAGAACTGGGAACAACACCCTAACTCTCCCTATATATGACATTAAAAAAAGCCTAACATTACCACACCGAAAAAAAATTCCCTCAGTTTCACTATCACCACCACCACCACCAACAATTATTTCCCTTTGGAATTTGTGAGCTTTAAGCCATGCCACTGCCTCTGAGTGAGAGGTTGACCCCCCCGCCGAGGTGGGGCTGGAAAGCCAGTGTGCCTGCAGAACAGCTTGGTGCCTGAAGTACGGAACCAGCATGAACTGCAAAAACCCACAAGATCTGTTCTTGTTCTGTGGGAGAGAAGAAGAGAAAGACTTTTTCCCGCATGCATAAAATTCTAGGAAACATCTAAGAAAATCCATAATCTCAAAGTGTTATCAAATGCATGTCTCCTTGTGCTCCCAATATCTGTACCCTGATATTTGAGTTGGAAACCCCTGCTTAAATGACAATGTCCTTACCATGGCTTGTTTTTGTTTTGCTTTGTTTTTATTCATAGATCAAAGCTGGCTTTGGTGTCAACGTGATTGGTCTAGTGGCTGTGGTGTTGGCCATAAATACCTGGGGAATTAGACTCTTTGAATTGGATAAGTTTCCAGAATGGGCTATAACTGGCAACATCACTGGCCCACTGTAAGGAGAAATTTTAAAAAACAATACCACTGGAGCATCGTATTTGCACATACATCAAGAAAGGAAGACACTTGAGTATATATTCATTCAGCAGCCAGAACTGAATAAGAAGTTAACCTTAGCTGAGGTTCTCCAAAGGATCATCATATCTTCACCATCTAGTACTTTCCTTATTTTTCAAGACTATAATGGAATGGATTTGTTCTCCTTTTCCCTTCCTGTTATTTCCACAGAAAATTCATCACTAGAACATTTAACCAATATTCTTTTTTACTTGATGAATTATATACTTAACTCATAGTGGCTATAGTCCTGCATTTATAGATTGTTTTAAAGGGTGTATTTATATGTATATACATACATTTTTTTAAAATGTAGAAAATTGTATATGGTTATTTTATAAGAATCATGAATTATTTGAGCATCAGATTGATCCAGGGAAGAGGGAGACCTGCATCAGGGTCTCAAGCATTACCGGTCAGCAGTAAAAGCTTGGGAAACATACGCTGTCCAATCTCACAGTAAAAGTTTATATTTTTTAAATTATATTTTCTGTATTAGTGAAATCACAGCATGGATTTGGGGCAATTTTTTGCTATCTGTTCCCAAATATCTACTTCTTTTTGTGTGCGTTACTTTATGATCAACAAAACTGACCATAATATCCAGCCTAGGGAAAAGCCCTGAAGAGTTTTGCTGACTTTTTTGTGACTTTTTATTTGGGGCCAATAAAGATATTATTCTGCTGATCTTTGGTTACATGGGCCAATGTCGTTGCCATTCATTTGGAAAATGCACCGATGCATTCTAAAGGTTTTTGTTTTTCTAAACATTTTCATTGAAAAAATCATGAATTGTTTCCCTGCAGTCATTTTTTTTCTCGCAGGTTCAGACTCAGTGGGCAAAATATCTAGATGGCTTGATTATTCCCCAATAGCAGAGCACCTGCAGCTTCTGGTGATCATTAGCTTGCTGACACTTATTCTAGCTTCTGGGCCTCTCCAATAATGTGCCAAAATTTTCTTTTTTAAAAATAAAAAAATCTCTTAATTAAAATTAGTAGGGGTTATATGACTTCAGAGGGGCTACAGCAAAATCTCACAAGATCTGCTGCTAAGTACATTGATAATTCATTTTTATAACTAGACTCAAGCACACTTAACAGGAGTACAACCTGGAGCAGGTCACCCTGGATGTCAGAAACGCATCCTTGAACTAACTTGCAAGCCAGTGGGTTGGGCTCTCAAGCATCAGTGTCCATTAGAAAGTCTTAAAGCAGTACCTTTCCCCCTTTCCCCCTCATGACCATGAAATACCCCTGAATCCTGATGAGTTTAAAAAGTAAACCCAATACTCCCAATAGCTCTGCACATTTCACTGTTGGCTGTATGGACCTTTAGCTGCACAAATTAGTTAAGCAAGAGCTTATTGTATCTGGGTACCAAACAGAACTGTCTGGAAGGCCACCTAAACATGTTTATTATCTGAGTGAAGTAAAGTACAAGTTGGCAGCCCGTCCATAAGAAGTTGCCTGGACTAGTATCTTACTTCTCCTTTGCTGATAGGCTAGCTGCTCCACATCTGAAGCACCAGGCTAATTTAGGGGACCCTGGACAGGTGCCATGGCACTCCTAGACCTCTGTGTCCTCCTGCAAGGGAGATTAGGTAGGCAGTTCATGAGGAGCACAGCAAGGCTGCCACCCAGCACTGCTGTCTCAGGTAGCTGCCCAATCGTATGACTTGATTTATTTATCTGGACCAAGCATCTGGCATTTGAAACCAGCAATGGCAAAGAAAGGGCATTGTGAGACCACCTTCAGATGAGCAAGATTTGGCTCCATGGGCCTCTCCAAAAAGAGGGAATGCTTGTGTGTATACCTTTCACCATGAATTATTTCCCACATTTTTGCTGAAAAAGCAAGGGAAGCCGTTTCATGCCCTGTGCCCTGCTATGTATGAAGACCAGTCAGTGTGGAAGATGTGCTTAGACTGAGGTGATTCAATTCTGAAGGAGGAACCAAGGTTAGGGTTGCATCACCTTGTAGAAAGTCTTGCTTTTTCTTGCAGTAGCTTTTCCTATCACCCAAGTTGCAGCCTAGGAAGAGGACAACTGTTCTGAGGCTAGAAAATGTTTTGGTAAACACCTCCTAACATTCCCCAGCCAACTTGGGGGATTCTGGGAGGTGCAGTCCGAAAACATTACCATTTTGAAGCTCTGCACATTCGCCTGGAAAGAAAGGGAGTGGAGGACAGCATTCAGAGATCACACCAACCTGGTACAAAAAAAAAACACACACACACATGCATCTGGACTTCTCACCAAGTGCTAATCAAGCCTTAATAATGAATACACAATTTTAATAATGGATGTAAAAAATTAGATGCCATGTTAGCTACAATAATTGTACTATGATCCATGTTTATGTTCTGTTTTTTCCACCAGAGTAAAAAAGGCAGTCTTGTGTTGCTAGGATGCTTCTGCTGTAGCAATCACTTGCTAATAAAATAAATAATTCAAGCCTTTGATTGTCTCCTGGTCAAATGATAATAGTGGTGTGGGGAAAAAATTACTATTCTAAAATAGCAACCTCCTAAAGGGACGTGGTGGCGCTGCGGGTTAAACCACAGAAGCCTCTGTGCTGCAAGGTTGGAAGACCAGCAGTCGTAAGATCGAATCCACGCGACGGAGTGAGCTCCCGTCACTTGTCCCGGCTCCTGCCAACCTAGCAGTTCGAAAGCATGTAAATGTGAGTAGATAAATAGCTGCCACCACGGTGGGAATGTAACGGCATTCCGTGTCTAGTCTCATTGGCCACATGACACGGAAACTGCACAATGTGAGTAGATAAATAGCTGCCACCACGTCTAGTCTCACTGGCCACATAACACGGAAACTGTGCATGAAATGCTGGCTCTATGGCTTGGAGATGGGGATGAGCCCTAGAGTCGGACACGACTGGACTAAATGTCAAGGGGAATCATTACCTTTACTAAGTTTGCTATTCTTGTAGTCATTTGGGATGCAGGAATTGCTAGGCTGAAATTGAAACCATGCCATAAGCTTCACTGGGTAATTGAGGGCCACACATTCTCTACCATCTTGGCTTACTCCACTGGGTTGTTGAGAGGATACAATGGGAAGGGGGAGAACCTTATAAAGGTGTCTGAGCTCCTTAAAGGAAAGATGGGCAGTTATTCTAACCATTAATCAAGAAAACAACATAGGTAATGCCTAAGGGCAGAGGATCCTCCCTTTGAAAAGGACCCTCTGTCCAGGCCAAGCACTATTCAGATGGGTACTAGCAAACAGCTTTATTAGCCCCCGTCACATCCTTCTGAGCTCCACACAGCAAGGAAAAACATGGAAAATGTCATGAGCCAAGTAGCTAAGAGTGTGAACTGGGCCAGGGAGTCTGTGTAGGCTTATACACAGCAAGCTTCCTCTTCTGTTTGACTGCTCTAACATGAACAGGCAACTGTCTTTCTAGCGCTAGGCACCAATGGAGAAAAATGTAAAGAAAGGCTTTTCAAGAACATGTCCATGTTGATGTCACATTTACCGCCATTAACCGTTCAGTTTAATTTGGAGGAGGGCACTGGAGCTATGCAGTAGAGACGTCCAAGCACCTCACCAAACTACAGATCCTAGGTTTCTGTGGGATGGTGCTGTGGCCATTAAAGTTATATCAACCTGTCATGATTGTGTAGTGCTGCCACTTTCAAAGAAACAATGAGATGCACACCTGGTTTTCTTCCATGGATATGGTCTTGCAAACCTGCTTTAGCTGCAAAGATCGACACAGCTTCCCCCCCTCCTACACCAAGGTTGACTGACTATATAAAAGGGGGGTGGGAGAGATTATGCATACAACAAGGTAAGGTTGTGGGGTGTTATATCCTAGTCCATCACTGTCATTGTCATCATCAACATCATCCATTTCCACTGAAAAATAATGCCTTCAAAATAGCTAAACAGGAACAGTAGAAGAACATGTCTCTTAATGATCAAAGTGCACAGGTAGTGTTGTTGTATGGGGGTGGTATCTCCGTCATGCCACCTTCAACTCAATTTAAAGCTCTTGCATTCCCAAACATTGGGGGAGGGGGGAGAGAGAGGCAAATAGTTGAAATACACATTACACATGTATACCTACTTCTGCTTTCCCCAAATTGGCGACCTCCAGATGTGCTAGAACACACCTCCTAGAACCACCTGCCAACACAGGAGATGCAGTCCCAACACATCCGGAAAACATCAGCTTGATTTTTCTGTTTGAAACAATGGTCAAATACAAAAGCTGCAATATATGGCACATTGTAGAGTTTAAAAAGCAAGTAGCCTTTTAAAGCAGAACAGAAGAAGGTGACAAGAATGATGAAAGGATACGTGGCCAATTTTTGATCAGCAGGAACTAACATTACCTTCATAAACAGAACAGGCTGCAAATAAACAAACAGATTAAGCTAGACCTTCTTTCAATAATCTGGGACATTCGATTTCTATTATTCAAGACATTCCAGTGCAAACCATTTCCAGATGAATATGTGGTACATAAGTCTGGTAACAGGCGAACACCAAGAAAGGAGCCAGCGTTTCTCCACCCAGATAAATTATATAAGTTCTCATTAATGGGATTGAATTATTTTACCATTTTGCTAGAAAACAACACTAAGGACAATCCAGGCTTAAACATTTCACTGGTTTTAGAGCTATGAAGTAACCGAATTATTGCAACAGATAAATCAGTTAAGGTAGGAAGTTTGTAGCTGATCCACTAAACTGATACAAGCATGGTTTATGTGTGAGGTATGTTAGGAGTGTGCAGAATACACAACCTCTTTCAAGTCCAACCTCTTTCAAAAACTATAACTCCCATCAGCCTTGTGGTAGCAAAGTCTCCTCTGCTCTAGGTGGCCAATATTAGGAACTATGGTCCAATGACATCAAGTCATGTGACACAGTTTTTTAATTCTATTCTGTTATTGCTTCTTTGGTTTGCTCTGCCCAACCCTTTTGATGCCTCCAGAATTCGAGCCCAACTAGGAGAATTCTGGCATCAGAGTTTACATAGTTCGGCACCCAAATTCTAGGGCTTTCACCTCATTTGCATCATTTCCCCACTGCTACATGTTAATAAATATTCAAAAACAACAATAACTCCAGTACATTAGTATATTCAAATCCCAAATTCTAGGGCCTTCACCTTAGTTGCATCATTTTCCCTACTGCTACATGTTAATAAAATATTCAAAAACAACAATACCTCCAGTACATTAGTGCATTCAAATCTGACTTATAGCAATCCTAATAGGGCTTTCAAGGGAAATGAGATATTTTTACCAGTTCCACTCCCCCCATGAGTTTCCATGACTGAGCAGGTCATGGACAGTCCTAGTCTCTTTATCTACTTCAAAACCATTTCCAAATGGGAATCTCATAACGGCTTTAGGCAAATCCATATAATGTGCACCCTTTATCTGTTGGACCAAACTATACTGAAGGACAGAGGAGAGCACTCAGAAATGTGTGCAGTGTGGCACTAAGGAGATATGCATCACAAAGAAACTGGTCATCTCCAGTGAAGGTACAAATATTTTCAGCTCAGACAGGGTACTGGCCAACATCTCGGTCTCTGGACATGACTGCCATGTGGCTTTCTAAAACAATTCTGAAGCCTTCTGAAAGCCATCTTCAAAACAAAACTGCTCTTGCGGTACAGAGAACTGCAGATCTTGAAAGAGATGTATGAAGTCAGCTCAATTTGAACACAGTATCAATTGCTATGGCTCTGTTAAAAATATGCTTTGTAGTCTGAAAGGCAACTTCTTAGCAACCCCTTATCAGCCAAAGAAAGCATAAAAATGCAGGAACACTCTGCTCTTCCCTGTAAAATAAACAACACGTTCATTATGATAGGGACAGTGAGAACACCCTCTATAAAGTTACCTATGTTATGAACGAAAGTGACTGTAGCCAAACACCTCAAATTCTTTCGAAAAAAGAATTCACAACAGTGACTTAACGCTAAGCCCTTTTATTTCATGAACAAAAGCTCAAAACCAGCATCAAATGTGTAAAAGTGTGCAGTGACCAAACGTGCTCTGCATGGGGGACACTGAAGACAAAACCAATCTGTCCCCTGTCCAGCTGCTTTTGCTGGTTTCGTGACTGCCTCTTTGCCTCGGCCTGCTGGACAAGGGTCTCTTCGAATTGGGAGAGGCCGTGATACACCGCCTGCCTATAGGCTGAATGCTCAGATGTCAAGGTTTCCCATCTGTTGAGGTCCATTCCTAAGGCCTTCATATCCCCCTTGCAGATATCCTTGCATTGCAGCTGTGGTCTTCCTCTGGGACCAAAATCCAACAGAGAATGGAGTTGGTTTCTATAGGCTGGACTACTGCCTATATTCAAAATTGAAAACTCAATCAAGGCAGCATCCTCACATTTAACTCCCTGTGAAGACACTTTTTCTTAAATTATTACCAGTGCTTTAATGTTTACTAACTATTCTACACCTTCTGGATATATGCACAGTTTGTGGTCATCCAAATGTTTTCAACAGCTCAGAGGAAACTGCCAGTATTTACAATGGCAACAGCCAACTTGCACTACCAATTCCATTCATCTGTTTCAGAAGATAATTCACCACACCTGCTGGTTACAATTCATAAAATATTAACACTGATGCCTTGGAAGTCTGTCTAGGGAAATATGGGAATCCAGGTGGTGGGCACACTGCTTGAGCCAAGGACACAAAGAAGCTAACTTCTTTCTGCCTGGGTCATTGCTAGTACTGATACGGACAAAAAAAAGTTCATGGAAAGTTTTGTCACAAATATTTGACAGGAAATGTTCCATTTCTAAAAGGTATATACAGTCACAAAGTTCACCAGAAACTTATTGGGAGTAGATTTCCATTGTCAGAAAATGCCACTACTCTTTCAACAACTCCATCCTGCCACAACACAATCTCTCTCATTCTGCTGAATCTCAGTACAGTGGTGCCTCGCAAGATGATGTTAATTCGTTCCGCAAAAATTGCTGTCTTGTGAAAACATCGTCTTGCGAAATGCGGTTCCCCATTGGAATGCACTGAAATCTATTTAATGCGTTCCAATGGGGAAAAATCATCATCTTCGGAAATCGCCCATAGGAAAACTGTTTTGCGAAGCGCAGACCCAGCTGTCAAAATCACTGTCTTGCAAAAAACCGTCCCTAAAAGACCCATTTTGCAAAGCGCAGACTCAGCTGTCAAAATCGTTGGCTTGTGAAAAACCATCCCGAAAGAAAAACGTCTTGTGAAGCATGAACTGAAACATCATCTAGCGAAATGTGTTCCAATGGGGCCCAAACTCACCGTTCAGCGAAGTTTCTCCATAGCGCCGCCATTTTCGTGCCCTCGGTAAGTGAGGGCAGGGTGCGAAAATGCTGCGCGTGGCCATTTTGGGTGTCCGGCAGCCATTTTGGAACCGCCGATCAGCTGTTTTTAAAAAATTGCTATGCGAAAATCGGTAAGCGAAACGCTTACCGATCGTCGCAAAGCAATTTTTGTCCATTGGAAACCGCTATGCGGATTCATTGTTAAACGGTGCGCTCGTTATGCGAGGCACCACTGTAAATATAATCATTGTGGATTAACCATTTTGCGAGGTAATCATCTAGCGAGGCACCACTGTATTAGTATTTTCACTGGGATGGAGCAGGCATAAAGAGATGGAAGAGAGAAAACATGTTAGCACACAAAAGGAAATACATAAAGAGTTGCAAGCATGGGTATGCCTTAATTCAGTGGTTTCCAAACTTGGGCAACTCACATGTTTTTCATCACAGCTGGTGAAGAAGGCTTCTGGGAATTGCCATCCAAGAATATCTGGGTCACGCAAGGTTGGGAACCATTGTCTGAATAGATCATTATCACATTACCTTTCTATGCGTGGCAGTGGCACAGAAGGACACGGGACAAAGGTAATAAGAATTTTATCCGGACTAATGCAGACTTTGACAATCACACTGCAGTGCAGGCTTCTGCTAATGTTAGATCAGATGATAAACCCAACAAAGGAATTTTCACAGCCAATTTATAGAATAGAATGCCAGAGAAACAGAGAAATGAGTGAAGCAAGATCATCATATCACCTATACAGAACTGCTGGATACCACAGTGATTTAGCTATCTGGCTGCAGAGCCAAAGGTTGGGAGTTCAATTTCCTACTGTGCCTCCTTGAGAGGGGCTGGACAGGTCCCTTCTAGCTCTGCAGTTCTAAGATGATGATGCTACCACCTTATGGAGTGGACCGTATTTCACAACTCTTTCTCTGATAGACTCAATATTTCACATTTGTTTTGCATGGGACAGGACAACTTACTATGCACAGCGTGAGATCCCACAAAGTTTGAAATCAGAAAGCATTCACTTCAGGGGGCAGGGTATTCATTGGTTTTAATCAGTAATTTAGTACATTATAAAGAGGTTGTACAAAAGGGTTGTATAGTTGTGCTCCCAAATACATTTGGGAAGGGGGAGAATCTTTGGGTACTAGTTTGCGGTTCCCTTCTGATTTCTTCCATGAACCGCTGTTACAGCCAGGCTATTAGTTTGTTGGGTTTGAATAACAAAATGAATTTCATTATTCTACACCCATGACACATTAATACTGAATATAAAGTAAGTACTGTGTAAATACACTGAGAACAAAAGTCCAATTCCTCTCTCTGGATCTGTTTTCTTATTATGTAAGGTTAAAACAAAGGTCAAATATTCGGAAAGCACTGGAAGGTCCTAAGGATGAGGTGATGCTTCCAGTCAAGGTCTTCCACAATTAGCCTTGGAGGGAATCCAGAAAAACGATGTTACAGGTTGGTACCTGTGTCCCAAAAGCAAAGCTACATCATCTACACCTATTACACAGATGGCTTCATCAACATCATTTGTCATTTGGGGGCTTCTTCCTAGCTTCCACATCTTTCTTGATTTCTTCAAACTTTCTTGCAATGTTTGGAACCTATGAAGAAAGTGGAACAAAAGATTAGAATTTTTTTTAGGATTATGGAATTCATAGTTGAAACTGCTTGAGTTCAACACGCTTATTTATTATTAGTAGTTTTTATTAGACTTCTACCCTGCCCATCTAGACCAAATGTTACTCTGGGTGGCATTACAAATTTAAAAAAGTTAGACCAATAAACATACGCTCCAAGATGGCAAAAATGTAGAATTTAAGCCTGCCGAAATAGCTAGGTCTTAAGTTTACTCCTGAAGACACCCAGAGAGGGAGCCAGGCGGATCTCCATGGGCAAGTTGTTCCAGAAGTGCAGGGCCACTGGCGAGAAGGACCAATTCCTTGTTCTTTCCTTCCAGACCTCCCTCGGCATTAGGCCCCTCAGCTGCCCAGCCTGGCTGAAATGAGTGACTCTGGCAGAACTGGGTGGGAGGAGGTGCTCTGCCAGATATCAAGGTCCTAAACCATTTAGGACTTTATATGTCATCGTTAGGACTTTGAAATCAACACTGAAGCAAATGGGCAGCCAATGCAAGGCAGCCAGAGTGGGGAAAATATGGTGGTATCTTTTTACCCCGTAAGAAGTCTTGCCGCCGTATTCTGCACCATCTGGAGTTTCCACGTTAGTCTCAAAGGCAGCCCCACATAGAGTGCATTACAGTAGTCTAATCTCGAGACTGCGAGTGCATGGACCAAAGTGGTGAGCACCCCCACATCAAGATAGGGACACAGCTGGGCAATCCACCAAAGATGGAAGTGTGCAGAATGGACCACTGACACCACCTGAGTTTCCATGGTGAATGCAAGGTCCAGATGTACACCCAAGCTGCAAACCTCACTCTTGGTGATAAGAGTCACCCCGCCCAAAAGAGAGGGAGTTTCCCAAACCACTGATGTCTGGGACACCCACCCAAAGGACCTCTGTCTTGCCCATGTTCAGCCTCAGTCCATTCTCCTGCATCCATTGCTGAACAGCCTCCAGGCAGTGCTCAAAGGATGAAACAGCATCCACTGTTGTTGGAAAAAAGATGTATTGCTGAGTATCATCAGCATACTGATGACATGAAGCCCCACATCCCCTGATGACCCCTCCCAGCAGCCTGATATAGATGTTAAACAGCATTGGAGAGATGATCGAGCCCTGCAGAACCCCACAATTGAGGCTCCACGGGGCCGGAAAGCTCTCTACAATCTGTAGTCTCTGGGGATGGTCCTCCAAGAAGGAACTGAGCCAGGCAAGAGCCAGGCCACTGATTCCCAACTCGGAGAGCCTCCCCAGGAGGTTACTGTGGTCAACGGTATCAAAGGCGGCTGAGATATCAAGGAGGGCCAGCAGAGACATTTTGTCCCATTGGCCGCCCTCTATAAGTCATCATGATGTCAGCTTACACATACCACCTGGAGTGACCATTAGTCTGATGGGGGGATTTAGACGTTTTTATTAAAAAATAAATAAATATAATTCCACATTTCCAACACATGAAAAGTCCCACTTCCCATTTGTTTAGTAACTACAAAATGTGTTCACTTTGCGAAAATAGGTTTGCAATCCAAGTACAGTGGACCCTCTACTTAAGGAATTAATCCGTATTGGAATGGTGGCTGCAAGTCGAAAAGTCTGTAAGTCGAATCTCCATTGACCTACAATGCACTGAAAACTGATTAATCCCATAACCAGTGGTTTTTATTCTATTTTTATTCCATTTTGGTTTTTTTCTGGTCTGTAAGTTGATTCTCTGGCTGCAAGTCGAATCTAAATTTTGCAGCCACAGAAGTCTGTAACTCAAAAAGTCTGTAAGTTGAGCCGTCTGTAAGTCGAGGGTCCACTGTAAACTGACTTACACAGACAAAGACAATGTCAATACAATGTCCACAGCAGCAAAACATTAAAAAAAAAATACTCACATCATAGTTCTGAGCCAGATACACCCCAAATACATTACCAAGTACAAAGCCAACCTGAGGAAGGGAAAAAAATAATTAGACAAGAAAGATTACATTTTCCCCTCTCTTTCCCCACTAGAAGATGCACTTCGGAAATATAATTTCTTTTCCACCAGATCTCTTAACAATAGTATTTTTGCAAGTTTCAAAACAAACCTGATTCTAATTAGATTGTTTGTCCTGTTCTCTGCCAGCCTCTTTGCCAAATGGGCCCCCGTAATGCTGACGTTTCCTACCATCTATGTAACCTATATACAAATAATGAATTCCTGCAACCACTGTCTTCAGTTTAAATGAAAAACAGGATTTTTGCAAATTACCAACACTTCTTTTAATTTGAAACCATGTCCGTTTCAAGTTTGGGGAAGACCTCCAGGAATCTGCCTCTGGCATCTGGGCATCTCTGCTTTCGGAATAGCACCATTACTCTTTGGTAGAGCACATGCCTTCTAGACTGAAGGTTCCAGATTCAAATTCTGATACCCCTTGATAGACCTAGAGAAAGAATTCCACCTGGAACTATGGAATACGACTGTGAGCAATAATCAGACCGAGGCTCCATTCTAGCCCAAGAGGGTCTACTCTTGACTCCATGCATATCCCTTTAATAGTAATCATGTGCTGTCAAGTCAATTCAGATTTATGGCAAGCCTTTCAGGGTTTTCCAGGTAAAGAATACAGAAGTGGTTTACCCTTCCTTTTTTCTGGAGGCTCCCAAGAACAGTGCAGCTTGCCCAAGGTCACACAGGCTGGCTCTTCTCCCAGGAGAATTACATTTTTATCATGTATGTAAGCCATCCAGAGTAGACTTTTAGGGGGGGTGGGGTAAAAATCTAATAAAAGTCAAGTAAGGAGGTACAGTGGGGAATCAAACTCCTAACCTTTGGCTTTGTAGCCAGATATGTAAACCACTGAGCTGTCCAGCCAGCTGCACATAATATCCCTTTAACCAGAAGAATGTAACAATTTCCATTCATCTCTTTTCCCAAATCCAAGTTTCTCAAGCTAGGATTTTTTGTTTATTTTTTTGGGATAATAAAACGAGTCCTAAAATTTTGTGGTTTCCAAAAAGGGGCAAAAAAATATTTCAGTGCCTGCGGTTCATAGCTTTCCCACATGCGGATCTATTCTTTGGCTGCAAAACAAGCTGCATGTTTTAGGGACAATGGAGAATAGGGACATATGGGCCGTAAAGTTCCAGTTGTTTTAAAAATGGGACAATCAAATGTCCAGTAGTTGCTTAAAAAAAAAACTGGAAATAGTGTTCCAGGAAAAAAAAAAGAATTTATCTCCTACCCCCTTGTAGAATACAGTCGTTTCAGAACTGAAATTAATTCCAAGTTGACTGCGAAACAAATGTTCCAGGATTCCTTAAGAGAAGGGGGGGGAGGACTCTTGCCTTTTCACTGCAAATCTTAAATCTTTCCCAACCTAGCACCCTACACTTTTAATCATCTCCATCCAGCATGGCCAATAAATCTGCCTTACTGCCTCTAAAGATTGTTTCCTATATTCTTTGATATATCATATCTGCCAATGTTACTCACAAATGAGTAAGTGAAGCGAGAGCATTTAATCACCCAGGCCGCTTATAACTGGAGCAGGGAGGGGGCACTCCCATATGAAATCTGAGGAGGCGATGCCTCCCTGATGAGGTCCTTGAACTTTCCCCACATTTAGTTGTACTGAGTTTGTGGATACATGGATGCTCTGTCTTTAGATCTAAGATCATCCAGTTATCATTTCTGATAAATAATGCTTCGGGAAGAGGCAATCTGTGGCACTAGAGCTGATGCTGAACTTCAGCTCCCATCAGATCCAGCTAATATGACCAGTTGTAAAAAATTGTGCAGATGCAGGCTTTTGCCTGAAGATATCTACCTTTCTCTTTAGCATGTTAGAAAATAGACCAGAGATGTGCTACTAAAACCATTAAACATACAGCAATTTCTCTGTGTACATGTTCAGCTGTCTACACGGCCCATCAACCAAACACCTGTGATGGTGAGAAGTATAGGATGACTAGGAATGTGCTGGCTTTTAATTCAAAGCTTTAGGGTCAGGAAATATTAATAGAAATGAGCAAGTAGGTGGATGGAATAAAATGAAGTGACATAAATGTTCGTTCTCTCTCTTCCTGGGTTACACTATGTTTTGTTTTTCTTTCTGCAGCAGGGTCCTCTACTCATCTACACCCATTTTAGTTTGAGTTTTCAACATTTCCCCCCCTCCCCTTTTAGCACAGAAACACATTCAGGTGACGTAAGAGACCAGGAGGTAGATAAATGAAAAATCCTATAATATAACCATGTTTCATCACAAAGCAACATCTGATCTCTTCTGGGCCATAGTCTTCTTAAGATTAATGAAATACAGTGGTGCCTCGCTAGACAGTTACCCTGCATGACAGTTTTTTCGCTAGACATTGACTTTTTGTGATCACTATAGTGATTTGCAAAACAATGATTTCTATGGGGGAATTTCACTGGACAATATTTGGTCCCTGCTTCGCAAATCAATTTTCACTAGACAACAATTTTGACAGCTTCCTCTGCGCTCACAAAACAGGTGTTTTCGGGACCTAAGCTTTGCAAGACAGCGATTTAGACAGCTGATCAGCAGTTCGCGAAGCGGCTTTCCTATGGCCGATCTTCGCTAGGCAACGACGATTCTTCCCCATTGGAACACATTAAACAGGTTTCAATGTATTCCAATAGGGACATGCTTTTCGATAGACAATGATTTTGCTAAACAGCGATTTCAGTGGAACAGATCATCATCGTCTAGTGAGGCACCACTGTATAACAACAATTGCATGCTATCAAGTCGATCATGCCTTATGGTGACCCTTCTTAGGGTTTATATAAAATATCCAGACGTGGTTTACCACTCCCTTCTTCTTGAGGTGCTCTGGGAACTATTGTACCAGATAGCTTAAAGATAAATACAAACCATAAACATGAAGAGAATGACAGAAGACCAAACAGTGGACAATGGTAATCTATTGGGGGAGGTCCTCTGGGCTGCTGTTAATAAACCAAAACAAGCTTCAAAGACAACAGAAAATGCACTTCTTTTCAGAAAATACCATTGTGTATCAGTGGTTTAGGTATCTGACTGTGGAGTGAGAGGTTGAGAGTTTGATTCCTCACTGTGCCTTTGTGACAGGGTTGGACTCGGTTATCCATAGGTCACTTCCAGCTCTGCAGTTCTAAGATTATTATGATTATTATCTTCTAAAAGGCAGCCAATGCTGACCTCTTCTGAGTTCCACATTTCAACTTCGTAAGAGCACTCAAGTGAATTATTCCTAGCATGCCAAGTCCATGTTTTCTCCCAGTCTGAAGTGTATCCCCCTATAACTTTGGTTGTATCTGCTGAAAGGGGTAAACAACAATTAACTCATCTCAGTCAATAGCCACCTATACAGACTTGTAAGAAAAGAGGATAATGCAGGGATGGGCAAAACATAGTCCATGAGCCATACACAGCCTGCCAGGTGCCCCCTACTTTTTTCAAAATTCAAGTTTTCTTCTGCCTCTTATGGAGTGCGAGAGAAAATTCAGGCATGTTCTTCCCCATGGCATATCTGCCCCTCATTTAAAAAAATATGCAAATACAAAGTATGATTAGCCTTCTTCAGAAGAGGGGAGGAGAAGGTTTGGTAGGCATGGGTGCAGAGTGCAGACCTCCTGGGTCCAAGATTGGTGCTATGCAGCCCTGAGACCTCTAGAAGTTGTTCGAAAAAGACTAACAACTCAGCTAAATCTCTTCCCATTGCTGCTACATGCCATGGGCTGTTCCTTCTGTCCCATAAAGCTGAAAGGATGAGATAATTCTCATGCAGTAAGGAAAGGATGGAAACAACATCACGAGCTTCAGGAAGTTCTGGACAGCAAAGGCTTGACACTGTGGTCCTCAGCTCATTTTTCCTGAGAGTAAATGCATGACTGCACTATATGGCACTTGTAGCATATTGGGCATTGCCTTTTATTAGGCCAGACTATAAATACACATAATCCAAACAAATCACAATCTCCTGTTCTAACTGGCTTGAGGTTCACCAGAGTCACAGGCAGAAAACTTTCCCATCACTTGCTACCTGGACCTTTGAACTGGAAATGCTAGGGGTTTAAACAGCAACTTTCCACGTGTAAATCGAATGCCAAACCAGTTTCTTTGTTCCCTTAACAAACGGAGAAAGCCACAGTGACCAAAGTAGCAAAAATGAGGCTAAAAACATACTGCTGCAAAACTGCCATAGCAGCCTTCATAGTCTCGTAGGAGTTCCAGCTGTTTTCAGTTGGCTTTAACAAAAGGCCATCCTGTCCTAGACAGGAAAATAAATACAGAAACCCAAGCTGAAGTCCAAAGCTTCACACTAAAAGAAGATGACTAATTTACTGAACTGGCATAGCGTATCAGTACATATACACTTACAAATGCATCATGTACCTCAAAGTTATTTGCTTCATTCTTTGATCTAAAATATCACTATGCTTTTAAGAAGCCAGGAGCCATTTTGTCTACTTGGAAGCTAAGACAGCCTCTGATTCCACCTCCTCTGCAAAAACACATAGACAAGCATTTCACACTGACAGTAAATTTGTTTTAACTGATCCGTAACAAGGCTTCCAACCCATAAGCCAGGTCTATAATGACAAATCTTGAAGAAGTTACTTTTCAGGATTATATCTCCCAGAATCCCTCAAACACTGGGTGGGGGATTCTGGGAACTGCAGTTCAAGAGAAGAACTTTTCTAAGCTTTGAACTGTAGGAAACATTTTTGAAACTTGTGCTAAATTCCAGTGAGATGCCTCCTGTTTTCACTGCCTAGAGTGCCCATTTGCCACTTTTGTAATTCCCCAAAATTATGATGCATCTGCCCCAAGACATTTATTGGTTAGGTAATGCTCACTCTACCAGCCCTATAATTTTTGAAAAACAAACATCAAAATGTCTAAAAACTGTCTTTAATTCTTCTACATGCACTTACATGTATGGGGGGAGGGAA